ACCGTAGTAAGTTATTCCTTTCCCTATGGCCATTAAGAGAAGAAAAACATTTATGACTTTATGTTAGTCTACATTTTATGTTGATCTAAAAGTTGAATTTTTCCATATAAAACAATGGATGGTCCATAACATCGGTACTTGTATTACAAAGTACATTTATTATATTTTAATTATGATAAAGAAATCAAATACAGATAGAGGCATCATCTGTTAATAATCAACCTATTGTTTCTGCTGACATTTAATTATGTCCTGGTAACACTTAACAATAATGGCTCATTAGTTAACATTAGTTAATGTATTAACTAACATGAACTAACCATAAGCAATACATTTGTTATTGTATTTGTTCATATTTATTAACGTTATTTAATATAAATACAGCTGTTCGTTGTTTGTTCATGTTACACCTAACTTATGTTAACAAATACAACTTTTGATTTTAATAATGTATAAGTAAATGTTGAAATTAACATTAACAAAATTAATAAATGCTGTAGAAGTGCAGTTCATTATTAGATGATGTTAACTGATGTAGTTAACTAATGGAACCTTGTTGTAAAGTGTTACCTGTGTCCTTAATCACTGTCTTTCCATTTCAACAGAGTTCATTGGTACAACTTGCATAATCTGGTATCTTGAAAATAAGAACATCGATCATACCATCTGCTCCAGATTCTCCAGCTGCAATTTTGAAGCTGGCTTGCTTGCCAATGTTGTATATGTCTGAAACACTGGCTGAAAAGGCATCAACTTCTTTTTTCTGTCAAAATCAATATTAATCACAAATGCAACTTAGTTATTCAACAGACTCATACTCTGCAAATAAAACAGACAAAACACTACACACTTTCAAAGCATGGTATCTGAGAAGAGACACTATCCTTTGTCAAGTTTTTTTGGTAAATTATGTGATACTATTTAAGCCTCCTGTCCTAAATATAAATGCATAGATGGATGACAGACAGACAGACAGACAGATAGATAGACAGACTTACGGTGAGTTTTTGAGCACATTCTGCTTTAGATGAGACACGGACGCACTGTATCGCTGGTCGAATTGAAGCACTGGTGAATGCCTGAGACATGGCTTTGCATTTGGACTCCTCCGCCTCAGAAATTGTGCACCACTTTATTGTACTCTGCCCTGACACTGCACGAAGTAATGTAACATCAACATCATCATTTCCCCTTCAAAATGTTCTTATTTCCTGCTCAGAACACTGCTAACATTAAAAACATAATAGCGTAACATAATAATTAACCTGAGTGGAATGGGCAAAATCATGTTTTTTCTTCATTTTAATTTTTAAATGTTTCTTACCATAATGCGTGACTGCAAGCAGAACACTTAGAAAAGCCCAGGTGTCCATCTCTGACTCGAGAGTGCGCAGATGTTGTTACTGTAGCCTACTGTTGTAGCTTTATATCTGTGAGAGTCTGTTGCAAAGTCCAAAACTCAGCCCTTTGACATAACCAAACGGGAAATGGTACCTTATCATAAACGATACGTGCAGTCAAGTTCGAAATTTATAGACTATAATATGACTAGACACGAGGACTCAAAACGACACGTCCAAGACGGGCGGAGGTCCAAGGTGCACACAGAGGGGTCTTTCATTCTTGGAAGCTCCACCTTTTTCCATAAGAGAATGGAAAAGAGACTCTGATTCAAGTGCAGTGTCATAAACCCAGGTAAAATAACTTTTACCCTTGAAAAAGAAAATTACTATTTCAAACGAGCAACTTTCGGTAAATGTAGTTCAGATATTTCAAACTGAAGACAAGCGTTAAGGACACTTTCTGGTTAACAAACCGCAAAAAGCCGGTTTAAAAAAATGCTATATAATTGAATCTAAAATTATCCAAATAATACTTTCTCTAGCAGGCTATGAACAAAACATAGACTTCAATTAACAAAAGTGATAATGCATCCGAGACGCAATAGCTTTTGGCTGCATGAGGCTACGCTTTTGCATCTGTTGTAATAAAAAATTCAGAATGTTACTGTCATAAAGTGTCACACCATTACACATCAGCTCAGCTCTTGCCAAGGGACATAAGGCCTACGGCAATAGTGAATTGTGACTGCTTAAAGGGACAATGTGTAGGAATTTTATTTCTCCCATCTAGAGGTGAAAATGTATTTTGCATTCAAACGAATTGCGCTCTTCAGCGCCTCGCTTTTTCAAATGCACGTTGCATCTACGGTAGCCATTATGTACCAAAAAGCTATGACATGATGTCTTCTAATACTAAAAGCACTTCGTGGTCAAGTGTTCCTTTGGGTGAACAGTTTGTCACTCAGACTTATAGAATATTGGTTAAAGTGATAGTTCACCTAAAATGAAGATTATGTCAACATTTCCTCACCCATGTCGTTCCAAACCGGTATGACGTTTCTTTCTTCTGTGGAACGCAAAAGAAGATATTTTTAAAAATGTTGGTAACCAAACTGTTTTGTTTACAATTGACTTCCATTGAAAAAAAAAGAGAAATTTCTCAAAATAGTTATGTTATTACCATAGACAGTGCCAACTCTCACGCATTTAGCGTGAGACTCATGCGTTTACGCCACACATCCATTTTCTCACGCAGAGAAAAAATCGCCGAGCAATGAGGACACTGACACCGACAGACAAGACAGAGCAGGTTACTTTTGATATGAAACAAATTTTCAGCACTTTTCAGTTTCTGATAATTTTATTACGAAATTCAAACAATAAATAACGTTTTGGCGCTTGTAAATGTGACATGACCTCAGTTCAAGTGGCAGATGAACCGATCTCACTCCTCTTTAATTAACGTAGTCAATAAACTCGAATGAACAATAGGTATTGAAAGATAAAGTACAACTTACCAAAATGTATATCCCTCATACATACCGGTAATATCGATCAATCAGTGTTTTTCAACTGTGGAAAGAGGTCATAAACAGCTGGAGAATATGTCACGTAACGTTACCTCAGGAAAGCCATTTAATGACCATATATAGCTATAGAGGAGTATTTAGCTAAATATGTGCACTGTATTACAAATTTATTATATTTTTACATATATTGTTCAAATATTATAACATTAGTATAATAAAAACCGTATTATATTTCATTTTTGAGTTGTTATTTTTAAACTTTAATAATAATACCAGCTGACAGGGCTGTAGGATGTTTACAGCAGTAGGTGAGATATTTTTCTTCTTGCGAAAAATTAACATGTATCCCTAATATTTATCCAAATTATATCGGATTCAAATCACAAGAATTGAAATCGTGAAATTTGTGTCAATGAATAATAGAAAAAGTATCCTGCCAGTCATTGCATCATGTAAACATTGTAACATGTTGTCACTAAACTCTAAACTTCTGTTCAGTTACCAAATGTTTTGACAATCACAACACACTTGTGATGCAAGTTTTCTTTTACCCTTTTAAAAAAAGATACAATCAAAACACTGTGTATGAGAAAAAAGTTTTTATTAGCTGTTCTCCTCTTTGACAAATGGAATGAATCAAGTTGGCAGATTATGTACATTATCTAGTCATAAAAGTGTGTTAGAAAGCCATGAAGACAAGTTAGAGAAGCAATCTTTTAGAAAACAATCATCTCCGAGTAACTTAAGAATGAAAAGGGGATGCTGTCAGCGCGGCCCCTGGTGGAGAGTTAAAGGCTTGTGTTAGAGAGTGGCAGAGCAAATCTCTCTTCATCTATGGGCAATCGACAAGTTCACATACATAGAGGCAAGAATCTCCTAGCCTCTAACGTTTACAGCTCATGCTAACTCTGACATTTTCACAATCCCAGGTGAAAACAGAAAGAGAAGCCCTCTCCTCCGCTTCTCACTCATATTTAATGTGTCAAAGACTATTGCTTTTAGAAATCATGCAAGTCACATGAAAAAGTAAACATGACATAACTACATAGGAGAGAGAGCTGAAGACTACAAACTGCCAACTTGAGTTTTTTCATATTGTTTGAGCAGATGCAAATGGAACTCCACCATTCAGCCCAGGTGTCCCGTGAATCAGTGTTGTTTTTGCATAAAAACAAACCATAAACAACAAAAGTGAAGGAGGTAAAAGTAAAAAAAAAAAATATATATATATATATTTTATATACACACATATTTATATGAGTGTATGTCTGACATTATAAAGAAATAATTCCCATAGGTATAGTGTTTAATTAAAGCTCAATATAGACTTTTATTATAACAAAATAGGCAGTATACTGAGGGATTGAATATACATTACAATTTATACTCTCTTATTTGCATTGCTGTTTCTTGAAGTAAGAATATGTCATCACCTGGATTTGAAAGATAACCATAAACCGTTCCTTTCTTCACCTCAACTATAAGCTACTCCCATATGCACCATGATTAAAATGTACACAGATTGTTAAGACAAATAGACATTTAATATAAAAAGAAGAACTTTTGTGCCAAATGTTTTTGTCCTCTTTGTGCACTTGTGACAAAACTGATCAGCTGTGTAGAGCAAGTGGGCTGCTTCATTTTACAAAATAAACGAGAGAAAACAAAAGTAATATGACGGCAGCAGTTCACATAGCTCAAATCTGTCTGACAAAAAAAAAAAAATTAACATATGTTAAATCTCAAAAGAATAATCCAAAACATGCTCTTAATGCAAAAACATGCAAAGTTGAGCTTTATGTCTTTTCAGAGACAGACATGAAAGCTTTAACTTCTGATCATATTTGGGGGGGAAAAGAACAAACCAAAATGTATATAATGCATTAACTCATTGGTTTTCCTTCGAGAAAGTCACCTCCCTTAAACATTAAGGAATCTGTACCGTATAATCTGTCCAGTAAGTCGCTGTTCAGGCATGTCTCCTGAAATGCGGAGATTGGGATGCAAGTTCTAGACAGCAGTTTCAAAGAGAGGCATGAGAGAGAGTAAGAGAGAAGTGGCTGTAAGACCACCATGACCCCAAGACTCCAAAATCAGTGGAGAATATTTTGGACTCCAAAAAAAACAAAACATGTTTCCTATGCTCAGGGGTCAGAAAGCCAATGTCAGCAGCAGGCCAGGTTAGTATAAAAGAGAAAACTTGGGGGGATAACAAAAAAAGTTGCAAGAGGAATAAGGTTTATTTGTCTTCAGCCATCTCACAACTTCTCTTTGACTGGTACCCAGATGACCGGCCCAGATTGCTCCTCGATGATCTGCTTAACCTGGTTGTAGATCTCTTCTAATGTGTCCCCTTGTACAATGGCTGCAAGAAAGATAAGATCAACATCGATGAGTATAATACATCTCACTCTAAGACTCTGAGACTAAGTACATGCAGCCCATAATTATTTGCCACTGATGCCAAATGCGGTCACTCCCTTTAATAAAAAGTCTTGGTAACATTACAAAAATAAAAAGCAAATAAATGTCCTAACAGTATTTTATAATACTTTAAATTGTTGTGTTTGTGCAGCCTCAGGGGCAACAAAGGACTCTTGTCTACTGTCAATAGTGTAGCGATGCATGAAGCACAGTTCATACAGAAGTCATTTTAAAACGGAGCAGCTTTCATTTGGTCAGCACAATGAATTTGCTTGACCAACTCGAACCCGTTGCGAAATCTGCTTGGGGAAATTTTGCGCCTTCACACAAAATCCCTGATCGCGTGGATTCCTATTGAAATGACTGGATTAGACCCGCGAAAACTCGACTGAAGTAAATGTGGCCGAACCGTAATGCAATTAAAAATTGCATGTCACTCCTGTGGAAAGTAATGGGTTAGCAGATGTTGCTACATTTTAATGTCTATGGTGTTACAGCAATATAAAAGCTCAAAAATCTTCTGTGCAAGCACTAATACAACATACCATATTGTTTCTGTGGTTAAAGCAAAGGTTATTTGCAGTGAGCTAATGTCTGTCTTGGCTTTTTTTTTTTTACTACACCAAATTGATTGTTTCCGCTTTTAATGTTCTGTTTTGTAAATGTTAATAATGATTTATTTTGAATATTGAGTTAAACTGAAAATAAACATATTATAGTAAGTTATAAACTCAAGGAAACTTTCCTGGAAATACTCCAGGCAATCTTTCAACGACTAAAGGTTGTTTGCTGTGAGGAGACATAAAACCACACAGTGAAGTTTCACATGCTTGCGGCTTTTGTGATATTTCATTGAAAACCCCAACCTTATTTATTATTTGAATGGCAGTGGTTTTGTGCAAATGTTGATTGCCTTTTTAATTAAATTTAAATCAATAAGCTTGGCATCTGTCAACTCAGCGTGTCTTGGTGGGGGGATTAATGTAAACATAATTCGTTTTGTGTCTTAAAAGGATAGTTCAACTAAAAATGAACACGGTCATTATTTACTCACCCCAGTGTCATTCCTAAACATACTTTCATCTATCATAAAAGAATATATTTCTAAACATATCTCTGTTTGCTTGTTTGTTTTTGTCCATACAATGAAATTAATTGGGGATCAATGTTGTTTTGGACCCCATTGACTTTCATTGTATGGGGGGAGAAAAAAAAGAAACACTGAGATATTAAAAACATTGATTTTTTATGTTGCACAAAAGAAAGTCGTACAGGTTTGGAATGACATGAGGGTGAGTAAATAACAGAATTGTCTTCTTTTTTTCCGCTACCCCTTTAAAATCAATGTAAACAGGTGGAATAAAACTGGATGTGTGTCAAAATAGCTTAGTTTAAAAGAGTGGTGCAGGGACGATGTTAATACCCAGAAAACTAATTCACCACTGGTTCACTCGAGATATTTCTATGGGGTTTTTCAATTTACTCTACAAGTAAAATAATGTCTGTTTTAGAGCATGTGAGTGATTCCGCTCTATGCCAGTGTGCTCTGCTCAATCGCTCACGGCCCAAGTGAATGCTTCAATTATGTAGCGCTCACACTCACCAGTTAAACGACATTCGCTCAAATCCCGCTCCCACAATACATTTCTCTGTACTTTACATCTTTCTGCTGGTTATGATATTTGTGGCTTTATAGCAATATTTTATTAAGTAGTAGGCTTTACATAAATAAAAAAGAGCTTCGCTGTTAGTATATCAAAAAATTTTCCGCTAACTAAGTTTCTCCACTCTCCCCTTCAATTTCGTTGCCTTCTTCGGTCTTAAAGGGATAGTTCACCCAAAAATGAAAATGTTTTCATCATTTACTCACCCTCAAGTTGTTCCAAACCTGTATGAGTTTATTTCTTCTGCTGAACACAAAAGACGATATTTTGAAGAATGTTTGTAACCAAAAAGGTGTGGTGGGGCACCATTGATTTCAGTATTTTTTTCCATACTATGGAAGTCAATGGGGACCATGAACAGTTTGATTACCCATATTCCTCAAAATATCTTCTTTTGTCTTCAGCAGAAGAAAGAAATTCAAGTATCCTCAAGACCTTATTTTACTTATTTAATTGGAAAACCCCATTGGAAAAAGTCTTCTGAGTTTTGACATCATCTTTGCACCCCTCTCTATATTAGAGTGTGGATTTGTTGCAGGACAGGTAAGGTAAGATATCTATAGATGAAAAGGAGTCAAGTAGAAATGTCAGAATTGATTTGGATGTGGGTAAGTGTATTCTACTGTTCTCACCGGTGAAGTGCTCTAAGAATTCCTGCTCCAGTTTCATAGCTCTGTCATAAGTCTTCCTGCCTTGCTCCTCCATCAATCTTTTATTCATCTCTCTGAGGAGGACACAGAGGACCTGTTATTAGTACCAATCAGTCAAGCTTTAGTATTTATCATGTGTTTGAGGATCCTTTCAAACAACAACGTACAAAATATTCTCCACTGATTTTGGTTTCACGAACACCGCTATGGGGTAGAGCTGTGCTAACTGGAGTCGTTTGATGGCATTGCCTGAGACATCCAGGATGCAATGTTTGCCCTTAAAGAACAGTGGAAAAAAAAAAGATTGTCACATGAAAAATGAGAAAACTGCAGCACAGTGAAATCGAAAGGTCATCACGAAACTCACAAAAAGAAAATTCCTTTTTTATTACTGCCATAAGTTTATTACTTCTTAACAAGTTGAACTTGTTCACCTTTTCTGCAACCTCTCGCACGGACTGCACGCTTGTCCCATAGAGGTGGTTGTTATATTGGCCCGCCTCGATGAACTTGTGATCTTGAATGTCTTTTTCCATTTGCTCCCGTGAGACAACAAAATGGTAGTCTCTGGCATCAACCTCGTAGTCTCGCTTTGGTCTAGTCGTGTCTGGTCAAAGAACAGTAATGACCATTATAACAGTGCAGAAGATATTTGAAATACTGCAAAAGAAATAATAAAACAGTGTACTCACGGGGAACACATGACCCAAACTTGTCAGGAAACTCTGAGATTAAATCATCGTTGATCCGGTCTTTCATGGGTCCAAGGATAATCACTGGACGAGCGTAACTCGCTGTAAACCACAATAAAAAGAAGTCTTACAATAAATCAGTGTTGTACAATGACACCTAAATGTAAGTTATATGGAGTAATAAAAACAAATGTACCATAATAAAAGAAAGCTTGCAAGAAGACACTCACCTTCCTGTTGCGTGACTGTCTCGTAAGAGAGGACATAATCTTCCTGTCCACCTGGTAAAGACAGAGATACTGATATAAGTTCAAAAATCTTAGAGAATATAATTAAACCAGCATGTATGTGCTGTATAGCCTCAGCTAAACTCTTCTATACCTTACCTAAATGGCTTAAACTTCTGATTGAGAGGATTTTGACAAACATCAGAGATGCATTTTCAAGAGTGGAACTGTTTTTATCTTCTTAGATACCTTAAAACCCCAGGCTCATACCACAACTTCTCAGAGAGGACATTAGCTTGCCGTCTAACAGCTAAAGTACACTGGTTAGCTAATTATTTGGCATGCTAAATAATGTATACTACTAATGTTCACATGGTTGGGGTCAGTAAGGTTTTAATTAATCTTAAAAATAAATGCAGTTCTTTTGAACTTTCTATTAAAAGCATCCTGAAAATAAAAACATTAAGCAGCACACCCGTTTTCAACATTGATAATAATAAGAAATGTTTCTTAAGCACCAAATCAGCATATTAGAATGATTTCTGAAGGATCATGTGACACTGAAGACTAAAGTAGTGGCTACTGAAAATTCAGCTTTGCCATCACATGAACAAATTACATTTTAAAATGTAATGATATATATATTTTTAAAAAATACTGATTTTAGTGTATTTTTGATCAAATAAATGCAGCCATAGTGAGCATAAGAGACTTTGTTCAAAAACTATTTAAAAAATCATACCGACATCAAACTTTTAAGCAAGAGTGTACAAGTTTAAGGTTAAAAGACTGGTGCAATAAATAAATAAATAACCTCACTAATCAACTATGTTGTTGTATGACTAAGTCAACCACTTGTACATGAAAATCGAAATGTAATTGAAATCTGATGTTGAGCGTTCAAATATATTTTTCTTTTGTATTATTACTGCTCATTTACATTTCAAATATATTACTTGTACCCTATACCCTATGAAAGCATGCCTTTGTCTCTAATTTTCACTCACTGTTCAGATGAGATATATTTGAGAGCCATGTGGCATTAAATAAAAGTTCAAGAGGTTTTTCAGCCCGCTCAACGTGAATGACAGGCCATGATTTACAAAACTGCTGAAAGACACAGGCTTGTTCAAATGTTATTTGAAGGTAATATTCCAGGCCGTAACACGCTCTGTCCCTGGCATGATCACTAAAGCAAGGTACACACATGATAACAGCACCTGCTTTATCACTTAAAACTCTCAGCACAGGCAAAGCATGCTATGAACTATAAAGCATGGTAAATTAATGGTAAGCTTCTGTCGGCTAAATCAATAGTGTGTTTAGATTAGCTTTTAACAATTGTAATGTTGTGTTATGGAAAATTAAAATATAATTTTTTTTAAAATCTCAAAATAAACTATTCTTGTACAAAATCCTGACTCTGATATTGGTCTTAAATAGTACACATCTTTCAATTATGTGCGTGTGTGTGTGTGCGCGCGTGTATAACATATAAGGTAAGGTAAGTTTAGAGCACAAACGGGAATTAAACACTCAAGAGATGAACTCAAAAACATGATGAAAGGAAATAAAGGGGAACACACACTTACGGTAACTACTTTCACTATCGCTGGCGTTAGAAGTTACATGCTCTGAAACCATAAAAAGGGAAAATAAGCACCAGAGACACAAAAACACCAGCCTTGCAGGAATACGCCAGACACACTAGGAGCAGTCACCAGAAGATGGCAGTGTTAAGAACCTGAACAGGACATCTGAGGCTTTGAAGATGATCTAATTTTGCTTATTTTCTCATAAAACTGCTTCCACGAAATGAATTTGGTATTTCAGCCGTATGAAAAATGTAAAATCATCGGGAGGGTAGGGGGGGGGGGGGGGGGGGGGGGGGAGCTCTTAACACAGTCATGGTGCATTGATGGACATTGATGGATGGAGAGGCTCAACTCCACCACCTAAAAAATGTCTCAATGTAGAAGTCTAGGAAGACAGAAATACTAAACATTCAGAAGTCAAGGGAGATTGTAAATAACATTCTTTCACATCAACCATGCTAATCTTAACCCCTCATGTTCTGTCGTGACTGTTTTCACAGTTCTGGTCAAAAGTTTGGGATGAGTTTTTATTTTACTCTTTTTGTACTTATTCAGCAAGGATGCATTAAATTGATCAAAAGTGACAGTAAAGACATATAAGTTAGAAAGGATTTCTATCTCAAATGCATGCTGTTCTCTTGAAATTTCTACTCAAAGATTCCTGAAATGTATAAATATATAAATTTAATAATTGTATAAATATAATGTTTTCAACATTAATAATGACAGTTTCTTGTGCAGCAAATCGGCATATTAGAATGATTTCTGAAGAATAATTTTAGAAGATTTCTGCCATCACAGGAATAAATTACATTTTAAAATATATATTATTTTAAATAGTTATTTTAAACTGTAGTAATATTTCACAATATTACTGTTTTTACTTTTATTTTCACTCAAAAACAGCCTTAGTGAAAAACATAAAAGAAATCTTACTCACCCCAAACTTTTTGCACAACAACTATATTTTTCATATAGTTGAGTATTATTCAAATTTTTGCTTATAATCAGTTCCTATTAGATTAAAGCAAGTTACTGCATCATCCTGACATGCAAAAAAATGTCCTGGCGGTCTCTCAGACCTCAAACAGAACATGAGGGTTAAATTCTTCTGACAACAACATTATTTGCATTTGATATATTTGTCCCCAAAAGTATCTGTGCGCACATAACCTCCCAAAGCAGAATCCCGGCAATAACTACATTTGTACATATTCTGATGAAAATGTGAGCAGTGCAAAACTTGCTGCTCAAATACTAGGTTGTTGCAGGTGGTTTCCAAGGTATTGCTTACCTTAATATCCCCTAAGATACGAAGTTATCCCCTTACTAAGCAATCGAATGAATGATTTTCACCTGGTGACAAGTGCCCTGCTTCACTTGTCACCAGGTGAAAATCATTCATTCGATTGCTTAGTAAGGGGAATGGGCTCTATGCACGGCGGTATTTCCGGTGAAGGTCTAAGGATGCTGGATTACTTCCGCCGATCGTAGTCCAATGCTATACCGAGAATTTATATTGGTTTTTATACTCTATTGCTATACTAAAGAAACGTTAGTCACAAAAACAGACACCCCTCATTTTGTTTATGCTTCTGTATTTATTATATTAAATAAACATAACTATATATAAAATTGCATCTAAACGTATTAAAGTTTCGTTTCAAAGACGAGAGGACAGTACATTTTGAAGACTCTGCCATAATCCCGTTTTCCTCGGTTTTCCTCCGCTTTAAATCTCCCCAACCGGAAACGCAAGAGCATCCTTGCGTCAAACGCGGAAGTTATGCGTGCATGTAGCCCATTGGGTTAGGCATTTGTTCAAAGCCCTAAACCTGATAGCTTCTCAAACTTTTTTGTTTGCCAAACCCCTTAAGGTGATGATACACAGTGCAACTTTTTGAGCAATGTTGCGATTGTTGCTTGGGCACTTTCCCATTGAAAATTGGCAATACATTTCTATCTGGATAATTTAGATTGGTCATGGGCCCTGTGTCTCATCTGGTTGCCCGTTGATGGCAACATTGCCCAGCAGCATTGCTCAAAAAGTTGCCCTGTGTATCATCACCTTTAGAGGTCAAATATTTACCTGAAGTACCCCCTTAGATTTTAAGTTAATATTTCAATAATTGAATGACACATTTGAATGTTCACAGGTCTCTGATGGTCTAATGGTCACAGACAGATAGATAGAACGATAGGATATATCAATAGATGGATAGAACGATATCATTTTTATGATATTGCGATTTGAATTGAAAATGACACCACTAAGGGCCCTATTTTAACGATCTGAAATGCAAGTATCAAACACGAAACGCAAGTAACTTTGTGGGTGGATCTCCGCAAATCTAAAATGGGTTGGTCTGAAGTAGCTACATTACTCTTAGGTGTGGTTTGGGCGTAACGTGCAATAAACCAATCAGAGCGTCATCTCACATTCCCTTTAAAAGCAGGCGCGCTTGTTCCATGGCGGATTGCTATTATAATGGCGCACTTGCCAGGCGCACGCCAGGAGCGATTCACAGCCGAGGAGTCCGACGTTCTCGTCAGGGCCGTAAAAGACAGAGAAGTGACATTGTATGGAGATGGGAGAAACCCACCCAAATTAGCTTCGGTTAAACAAGCGTATAATAATTTGGGTAAACGTGTAAGCTAGATTTATGCCTATTTTTCACATCTTCATGGACACCACAATGATTTCCCTCGTGTGGTAATATTTTTCCTTGTAATTATGTATGGTTTGCAAAAATGGGAACTGCTGTGTCTGTGTAGATGAGAGAAGCAAAGTGTATGCGTGTTGTGTACATGCTACATTATGGCCAAGCATGCGCTCTTAAAATAATATCTGAATAACGCACCACTGACTTTAGACTTTAAACCTTTTTCTTTTAGGTTTTTCCTGGTCTGGGGCGGAATTGTTTCCTGAAACTGCAAAATAGCACGAGGGAACGTTTGTGCCGGAACACGCCTCCTTTTCGCTGAACCGCAAGTTCATTCCCTAATTTACCGACGTGCGTCTGTGGAGGGAAAAGTCTGCTGTGCGTCAGGTGCAAAATAGGAATGACGGTGTACAAAGTCAATTGCACTGGTTGCAAGATAGGGCCCTATGTGTCAATACAACATTTTGATGTCTTAAATTCTTTACTTTCAAACATTCGAACCATGGAGATTTTACTTTGGGAGAATATTGGTGAAATTCTGTAGACTTCTATCCACAAACATTTTGGAAATTATGCAAATTTGAATTTAAATAAAGTCAACCTAACACACACTGTGTTCCCAAAACGATGTTAAACTGAGCACATGCAGCGATGGAGAAGCAGCATTTACTGTGAACAAAGCCGCTCTCAAAACACAGTAATAAAAGCTGCAGTAAACACTGTGAATGAACACAGTGCTGCTCTTCACTCTGAAACACGCAGCGCAACAGACTATATACTTCAAGTTTGCAGTCTTTGATTTTATAATCGCGATTTGATTATATGTATTTCAGTTTTATTTTGATGAATTGTCCAGCCCTATTTATTTATTTTAATGTTACATTTGATTTTCAATCATTGCTGATCTGCAAACTTCGAGCCAGATTTACAAAACAGCGCAAAGTAGCATGACACCATAATTCCATAAAAGCACAGATGGGAGTGGAAAGTTAAGTTCTGCAGGTGATAATGCGCAAATTAAAGAACACAGACGCAGCAGCTCATTTCCATTATGACAAACGCAATCTTCCAAGGGTAGCAAGCAATAACATCTTCCTCAAGCATTCTAAATAAATTAACACGAATGGAGACAATTCTCTTCTGCTCTCTGTTCTCTGTGGTGCCTCCTCCTATAGCAGCATGTCAAGTGCAAAATGGGTTAACACATGCCTTTTTTGGGTGTTAAATAATGCCGCAAATACCAGTTAATTGACTACCGCAAACCTCCTCTCATAAATGTTGTGTCTGAAAGGGAAACTCCAACGAATGCATAACTCTGTCCACACCTTTTTATCTACGTGTCTTCAGTAAATCCTGACAGTACTTTTTAATGCCAAAAAGAGTAAAGTTAGTAAATCTGGCCCTTTGTGTTTTATAGTCGTCTAGATGCAAAACAGGCTGCAGACACAACACAACTCTAACTCAACATCACTTCTACGGGCAAGACAGTTTTATGGGGAATAATGGGAGTTTGGTGGGGCCGGTGGGGTAGACCTGCTGTAGCCTTTGTGGACTTACTCAAGCCTTTGTCGTCACTCAGGTCCTGTGGAGCAGTCGGCAGAGAGCAAGGAACAGGAGAAAACCACAAAAATAACAATGATTACTGGAACAACATATCTGGTCTTACCGAAGAACTTCGCTCCTGCCTTGCAACAAACCCAGATACAGAGACTTCAGTGGTCTTCAACAGACATTCTGTCCTCAAATCATCTCATATTGATGCAGAAGGGATCAATCAAATTTCCTGTCATGTTTAGGGTTGTTGCAAAAGCAGGAGTTTCGTTCAGAGGTGTTGGTGCCACTACCCTGTCTTGCACACGTCCAGTGCTTTTCTGTATCCGCGGCTAATGTACTTACGGTCCACATCGCTTGTTTCCTGTTCGCTGGGGTCCTTGTTCTTGTAGAAATGGAATTTTCGCGAAAAGAGGTTCTTTTTACGCTTGTCATTGAATGACTGCTGAGAAGGAGAGGGAGGGATGGAGGGAGGGAGAACAAAAAGGGAAGAACAGATGGAATGGTGTTGGGTGTCTAGTTCAAGTATGAACAAATGCCCAACTTAACAGATGCCCATGTTACTGGCTCTGTGGCCACCGCCATCCAATAAAATGATGCTGGAATGACAAAAATCACTAATGCTAGAACTTATAAATAGACATGAAACATGATATTGATTTGGAGATGGCAACAGATACAGTTGAGTTTATGAGGGATTACTGAATATCAGATCAACTTAAAGGGTAGTTACCACAACCATGTCAGCAAAGTGGGACAAACTCAAGGACATGCAACCCTCGAAATTAGTTAGTGGATTAAAGTTAGTGATTAACACTGATCAAAAAGTTTGGACGGGAACAAAGCTACAATAAGCACAAAAGACTTAAATAGATGGACAGCGGAGTAATTTGCAGGAAGAGAAGGTGAAGAGCAGTTTGACATCAATGGCAAGCGTATTTATCTTTTTGTTCTCTGAAACGTTCATGCACTCATCCTGCATTAGTGAATGCAGTTGAAAAGGCTAAGACATTGAAGAGTGGATGATGAGTTTATCTGGTGCAGGAGATGTTTGCTAAACACAATACTGCTGCAAAGTTAAAATCACTAGGGCTGGGCAATATTGAATATCGACAATATATTCTGTGGTGATCTAAAATGAATCAACATTGTGAATTTCGCAATGATTTAAAAGGTGCTTTTTATTTGGCCATTCCATTTTCTAAAGATGACATCGTTAGATTGGATGTACAGTTCTTTCTTGTCTCTGTATATTTTCAACTTTATTAGCAATCTGTGTTAAAGTAAGATGGTAAGTTTGATTTATTTCTGTGAATCAGGTCATTTCAATGAATCTATTCATAACTGATTTAATGACGTTTGTGTCATTCAACTAAGCCCATTCACAATGTGGGATATTTCTTATACTAAAATCTGTTAGTAAAAATTGTTATATTAATGTTTCATTTGTGTTATTATGTTATAGTAGTGCAAACAGACTGGGGGGAAAAAATTACTGCATTTTACTTCTTGCATCAATCAGGGTTTTTTTAATCTACAATGGCTGTTCAGTTGAAATGATGGTTCTTTTGAACAGAATTTATTAAGTCAGAGCAATTACACAAATACTATAATATATATCAAATGTCATCAAAATGCTGAAAAATATTGAGATCTATATACTGTACACACTGTATTCAAAAGTTTAGGGGTTGGTAAGATTGGTAAGAAGCTCACCAAGGCTGCATTTATTTGATCAAAAATACAATGCAAATAGAAATATTATTAAAATTTTATTTTATTTAATTTCATAACAATTTCCTATTTTAATATATTATGAAAGAAGTCATTTATTCCTGTGATGGCAAAACTCAGAATTTTCAGCAGCCATTAATCCAATCTTCAGTTTCACATTATCTTCCAGAAATCATTCTAATATGCTGATTTGGTGCTCAAGAAACATTTCTTATTATTATCAATGTTGAAAACAGCTGTGCTGCTTAATATTTTGTGGAAACTGTGATACATTTTTTTTTTCAGTATTCTTTAAATTTCAAAAGAACAGCATTTATTTAAAAAAAAAAAAAAAAAAATTTAGCCATGTAACTGTCACTTTTTATCAATTAAACGCATCCTTGATGAACAAAATGTTTTATATATAATATTTTTTTGCAATATCGCCCAGCCCTAATAGTCACATGCTGTTAAGAATACTCACATAGGAGAGAATTGTGAACAAACATACAGGATTAGTACACTACATTCAGTAAAAATAAATTTCAATCTATTTCACAAATGAAAATGTCAAACAAGCATCTCATTCATGAAGAATGATTCATCAAGAATGATTCATTACTTATATATAGTACATCACTACTTTGTTAGAGTTTACACTTGCCAGCTGTTAGTCGCCCTATGTGAGAACAGTTTTGACTTTTGAAATGTCACACAAAAGGAAGGTGCAAAAAAATGTTTCTAATGCTGAACATCTTATTAGCACTTTCATCTAAAAATATCATAAAAACAACAGTTTCAAAATAGGCTACAAGGCGTGTTCATAATGTTTTCTGATTTCTGTCAAATTAAGGTTATGTTGGCATGACTCCAGGTAAACCAAATAAATGTTTTACACAAAGGGCCTATTTATAATGTATTAGTCTATAAACTGCTGCTGTTTAAAAGCATTAAAAGCATGTTTGTGTCATGCCAGACATGGTAAATATTTGAGCAGCAAACACTTACCGCTTTATCTCGAGACTTGGAGTTGAATTTGACCGTCTTTAACCTGGCTCTTTCTTTTCTCTCCACCCTGAAGAGAAAGGAGACAGAGAATGTAGGGTGAGTATTTTCACTGTTAATACACAAAAACTGTCCTGTGGTCATTATGTAATAGTGTATAAACTAAAAACATTTATTGAAAAACGTATGAAGCCAAAAACTTTTATTTTTGCATATTGTAGCAAAACATATTTTGAGGAAAGTGATATATGTAATATTTACCAATATTTAAAGGGGTGATGAACTGAGAAATCAAATTTTCCTTGAGCTTTTGACATCTAAGAGGTCATCAAATTATAAGAATATCCTGTAAGTTTCAGAACTGAAAACGTCCTTGTTAGTCCAATAAAAGCTTTTATTGACACCAGGCTCAGCAAACGACTCGTTTTTCAAAGTGGGGAACTATGACAACAAAGAGGATAAAACACCACCACCCCCGCAGAAGAAGATCAACGCCTACTTCAACACGGCCGGTTTAGCCCCGCCCACCGATTCGCGCATTACACGAAACTCATTATAATATGCAAAACTGTTATCCACTCAAAGCAGTGGGCGTTTACTTCCAAGTCTTTAATGCGAGACGCTAGTCTTTTGAAGTCTTCTACTCAAAACTAGGGTAGAAAATAGCCTATTACTTATTCATTTTGATGTTTTTGAATGTAAAAACCAAGCGAACGTCATAAGTTAACCTCAGACAACAATTTAAAAAGCCCGTTCATGACCCTTTTAAAATATACTATATGGACAAAAGTATTGGGACACCTGACCATTACACCAACATGGACTGTATGGAGTTGGTCCCCAATTTGGAGCTATAACAGCTTCCACTCTTCTGGAAAGGCTTTCCACAAGATTTTGGAGTGTTTTTGTGGGGATATTTGCCCATTTATCCAGTAGAGCATTTGTGAGGTCAGACACTGATGTTAGACAAAAAGACCTAGCATGCAATCTCTGTTCCAGTTCATCACAAGGATGTTCCATGTGGTTGAGGTCAGGGCCAGTCAAGTTCTTCCACATCAAACTCACTCAACCATGCTTTTTATGGACCTTGCTTTGTGCACTGGGGCACAGTCATGCTGGAATAGAAAAGGGCCTTCTCCAAACTGTTCCCACAAAGTTGGAAGCATGGCATTGTCCAAAATGCCTTGGTGTGCTGAAGCATTAAGTTTTCCCTGCACTGGAAGTAAGGGGCCTAGCCCAACCCCTGAAAAACAGCCCCACACCATGATCCCCCCTTCCACTAAACTTTACAGTTGGCACAATGAAGTCAGGCAGGTAACGTTCTCCTGTCATCCGCCACACCCAGACTCGTCCATCAGACTGCCAAACAGAGAAGCGTGATTCATCACTCCACAGAACACATTTCCAGTGCTCCAGAGTCCAGTGGAAGCATTCTTTGCACCACTCATCTGACACTCGGCATTGTACATGGTGATGTGAGGCTTGCATGCAGCTACTTGGCCATGGAATCCCATTCCATGAAGCTCCCGCCACACAGTTTTTGTGCTGATATTAATGCTAGTGGAAGTTTCTACCTCTTCAGGTATGGAATAAGCCGACCATTGGCGACTTTTACTCACCATGCGCCATTTTTCCCCACAGATGTTTGTAAATGCAGACTGCATGGCCAGATGCTTGATTTTATACACCTGGGGCAATTGGTCTAATTGAAACACCCGAATTTTTTAATTAAGAGGTGTGTCCCAATACTTTTGTTAAAAAAAACATTCTAAAAAAAAAAAAAAATCAGTGAGATGGCCAAAAATTTCCATCTGCATGCATGTGCACAGACCAGTTATTTAACAAAATGATAAAAAAAAGGAACATTGTTCACAGCAAGTTATTTGACACCTGACAGTAAATGATTGTTGAAGGTGGTGTATTTGTTACAAAAACCATGCTTTGATGGATCTAGATGACCTCTAATCTCCAAAATCCAAATATGAAGTACCAGGAAATAGGATGTAGATCACATAATTCGTTTAAAATATATAGGATAATTTACAGAAACTTTCACAAAGAGAAATCCCAACTTGTTTCTTGCTGGGTGCCCCCTGTGATCAGTTCGGAGACGTGAGAGGCACATTTTTAGAATGAGGTGAGAAGTCAATTATCAACTTTCAGTCAGCATATAGCTGAGTGGAGAGAATGAGAGGGAAACTCACGGCATCACACATCAGCGCTGAAGTTCAACGCTCTAATTAAGACTTTGTAATATCAGGTGACAGTAAACCCATGACTTTGATCAAAATAGAGCAGACGTTGTCCTGCTAAAGCTAATTCCATGGCTAGCATCATTTGTATCCTAAATACAATTAAATCATATTGTCACGTTCTGTATAATTCACCAAAGTTTTGATAAAACTTTATTGGTGTCAACATTGTTGGTTGTGGTAGAAATGACACCACGACGGAAATTTGTATTCTTTTAAATTTATATCATTACCACACAATAAATATCGAAAGTGTTCATGATTATTTGGCTATTTGTTTAAAGTCTGGGTCTGCGACAAGGGTAAAACGAATTCTATACATGAAAAGCATTACAAGTAGCAAAAACAACAAAACAAAAACAGAATTGAACAGGATCTTAGGATAATAAAAAAAGAGAATAAAATCTGTTAGTTTTAATAAAAATTAAAACCCCTGGAGCATACAAGTGCTCATGATTGAAGAAATGCCCACATAGTTTTCAATCTCCAGCTGCTGAGTCAAGTTAAAACCCTCATCACAAAGAGAGATACTTTTACTTCAGCTGTCAGTTAAGTATATTTAGTCTCAAATGTGATAAGTCTGGGATGCCATTGTGCAGATATATATGTGTGCTCATTCCTCATTATTAACAATTACTGTACACAATGGGTGATAACTAAACCAAAATGAAAAATGGCAGTGAATTGAAACGCAAGACATTGTGAAAGAAACCATAGAGGAAAGATTATGAGCTGTGGGTAATGTGGCATTAAATGCACAAATTGTGTTAATTATGGTAAAGAGGTAATCATGGTAATCGTGGTAACTGACCTAACTTTCTACAGTACAGTATGTTCTGGAATGCATGGGGGCATAGCCTACCTCTTCTTGCTGGGAATGACGCCCATCTCCTCCATCTCGCCATCTGGAGTCACATGGCGCGCCTGCCACCACTCCTCGTCCGAGGCATTCAGGACGTGTAGGATGTCGCCGAAGCGGAAGTTCAGCCCCTGACTGGGCAGGCCCGAGTCTTTTGTTATGTCATAATCAAACAGGGCTCTAAAGGAGGAAGAATGAAGTAAGAAGAAGAAGATTTTTTTTTTGATGGAGCAAAGAAAATGTATATATATATATATATATATATATATATAGTGTCTCGTCACAAACATGACATTTCAACCAGAATGCCCATATATTTTTTATAAATGCCCATACATTTTATTTTGAAAATGTGCCATATTCAAAACATCTTTGCAATTTCTGTTTGTCTAAGTTTTTGATTCTCAAACACCCCCCTCACCCTGGTGTTATTCTAATGCTGTATGCCATTCTTTCTTTTATGGACCACAAAAGAAGAGTTAAAAAAAAAAAAAAAAAAATACATTTTACCCCCAGAACACTTGGAATATAGAGCAATTTTATTGATATTTTTGCATCCTTTTTTAAAAACTTGATGCTGGTCACCTTTCACTGCTGTTAAATGGACGGGCGTGAGCAGGCCATTTTTTCAAAATTCTCCTTTTGTGGTCCATAAAAGAAAGAAGAGCATACGGCATTAGAACAAGACCAGGGTGAGAAAAATATTACTTAAATTTTCATTTTAGGGTAAACTATCCCTTTAAGAGTTATTTTTAGGTATAGTTTGGACTCCTCTCTGAATATTACACTGGAATAGGAAAATGTTTTTTAACATAATAAACCCCACTTCAGCTTTAGAGATGCAGTAGCAGCCTTTACTTTAAAGGTCAGAGAGGAGGATAAAAATGGGGCATGCCAAACAAAATTATGATTTTTGGAATTAAACCCTTTCTAACATTAAAAGTGGTCTTGCATGAGAAAAAAAAATGCTACAAGGGTATAGAATAAACAGCAAGAAAAGCCTCTAGACTCTGAACACACAAGCTTCTATGAATTTTAAGCAACCATAAAGATATGAAAACCATTCTATAATTCCAAAAAGCCAGCCTTCCTAACTATTTTGCCCACAGTCAGATTTCCTGAGATGTTAAGTAGGCCAGCTGTTCTTGGCATGTGTGCATGTGCATTTAAGAGAACTGGAGCTGAAGTAACTAGCCATCCAAGCTCTTGACTAGCTTATCCGTTTCCTCATCAATAATGAAGCACTTCCAGGAGGAAGCCAGGGCATCTGAGAAGCTTATGGGGCTTTAAGGAACATACAGACACCAAAGCCCTCTTTAACCTCCAAAAGCATGTAAAGAACACCTATTTAACTCTTCAGCAAATGATGCAGATAATTTCTGTGCAGTCTTAATCTGCTTAGAGGTGTAATAGGCAACATTTGTATCCTTGCACAGTTGAAGCAGAGACCTTAAATCATTATAGTAAAGGGCCTGTGGAATGCCGATTAAAAGCTCAATCCGTATAGATATATGGTTTTAATGGAATATCAGATCATAAAACTGATGTTCTTTTGAGAAAGGTCAAAATTATGTATGTACTATGTCATTCAGTGTGGAACAATTACACATTTTTAAATGTATTTACTAGTATGAGTAGAAACTATCACTTATGAGTCATGAAAAAGGCCTATACATAGTTTCTAAGCACAAAAAAAATTAAAGTCAAAAAGGTAAGAGGCTCTACATGTCACTGGTGTCCAAGTGAACCTCGACTTTGTGTCACAGAAATGCTGTGGTTTGCAGACATGCTGCAGGGAATAGAAGCCAAAGATGACTGCAGTTCTACCGGCATCCTTGCGTGATTTTAAACATATCAAAGCAAGTTAAGTTGACAGCCACAACAGTGTGTGTTAGTACAAGTCTTTTAGAAACAACCACAAACTACATCCTATAATGCAAAAGTTTGCAATAAACCAAACTTGAGCAAACAGCCTCACTCTAACATGCACTTTAGAGACAGTATGTTTACGAAGCCCTTCGGCGCTACACATGACAGTGACACAACAAATATAATCTTCATTTCCATCACCATTTGTTCCATTAATCATTCATTATATCCATTTACTATGTTCTGTGGTATGTCCTTCAATTCAATTTAGTTTTGATTTTCCTGCCAGTTAAAATAATGTTGCTTTTCTTATGATGACCAATTTGTGTGTACTATTTTCTAAAGAAAAAAGCACACATAAATATATGCAGGGACGACATGCACATATTATGGGTTGAGCTCAATATGACACAGCTGAGAAATCACATCCGATATTAAATTAGTGAATCTTGCATCCTGTGTAGAGAATCCAGAGCCCGGGGGCTTTCGAATCCTCAAAATGTCAAAGCTATTCTCATTAAAACATAAGAATAGCAACCTGAGAGCTTAGAAATAACGTTAAACAAAAACCACCTAAGAGCAAAAATTCTGCAGTAGTTTCACATTACAATCCTGATCATCTATCTCTTTACATCTAACTGTTACCAACCTGCTAGGCTAGGAGCGATGAGAGCCTGTGAACACACAGGAAGGTGAAATGATTGACAATGGCTCCAAAAACATGGCAAGCTCTGTCAATACAGAGCCCTTCATGTGTCTGCCTGAAAATATGTGATTCAATCTACTGTGTAACCACTGGCCTGAATGTTCTGAGAGCAAAAAAAAAAAAAAAAAAAAAAAAAAAAACAGGCACACTTCAGACAATGACATGTTCACATAAGGGGCCGCCTATGACGCAATCAGTGGCAGACAGAACAATGTACATGAAAAAATAGGCTGGTCAAATATTAATGAAAGCCATAACAAGATACATTTTTATTGTGAAATATATGTGAATATATTAGTATGCATTAACCCCACTGTGTATAAACATATACACAATGGGGTCCAAATGTCTGAGACCACAAGTGAAAATGCCCATGCATTGTTTTTTTAAGCTTTTTCTCCTATTCATACATTATATTAACAGCACAATACTTTGTGTGAGAAGCATGTGCTCAATTTAAAATTGTTCTTTACACTTTTCACAATATTGAAAAAATCATGATATTTCGGATGTAAATATAATAATACATATTATTATAAACATTATAATTATAATATGATTTTATTAAAAATTTACAAATATACACATTTTTTATATTATTACACATTTTAACAAAATATTACAGATTTTATTACAAAATTTACAACATTTATATTTAAAAAATAGAATTAATATAATAATAATATAATAATAGTACATACAATCCAGTAAAACCAGATGTACTACATACTGTGTGAAGTTGTTTTTGCAGAAGTGCCACAGTCTTGCGTTAATCTCTAGCATGTTTTGAAGATCAAAAGTAACTAGTGGTGACTAGAGGGAGCTCACCTGACATACAAGGTCCTCTTCTGACTAGTCCGCAAGGAGCCAGAGCCTGAACTAATACTGCTGTTCATCATCTGCTCCCGTAGATCATGGATTTTGGCTTCAAATCGACTGTACTCTGTTGGAAACACAGAGAAGAACATTACACATGCTGTCCTGCTGAGAAGAGATAAGCAACAAGGAAAAACACCTCGAACACCTACAGCTTCAGGGTGGATCGGTAATATTGATGGAGATGGGGAAGAAAAGTCAGACAGAAAGATGTGTGTTTAGAGCAATAGGAGATCTCTGTTTGAGTTTAGTCAAGAGTGAGCGTTACAAACGCATGAAAACTAAAGAGCAGACAGATGCATCAACATATGCACAGCTGTGCAAGCCGTAAAGTGGTAGAGAGGATGGATATAGTCTGATATGTTCGAGAAATCTTATTTCATACGATAGATCTGCTGAATTCATCATCCATTCCCAGGACTCAAACTGCGTGAGGAGGGTTTGCTCACGCTAGACTGAAACGGTGAAAATGTTCATGAATTATTCAGTGGTTTAACTCACATAACGCTCCTGCTCTTTCCCTATGTTTGACCTCAGAGGAAGTAAGAAATACATTCAAGCTATAGGACACGAGCGATATGTTGACATTATAATTTGCACGGACAAAAGTGTCCTGATAAAGAGCTCATGACAGGTTTCAATAAAAAATAAAAAAGCCAGTCAATGAAATATGAGGCAACTCGAGAAAAAAAAAAAAACATTTACATGCTTTTAACCAAGTTAAAACTCCTCTTTAAAAAATATATATAAATAATATACAACTATTATATTATGCTACATTTAAACACCCATTCAACATTCAAATGCACAAGAAAACACTTTAATTCTCCTTCCACTGAATAACTTAACACCATCTCGCTACAAATTAGTGTTCAGATAAGTTGAAAGTAAATCAGCATACTTACAGACTCTTTTCTCAGAGCCGTGCAGGAGTCTAGAGAGAGTGAAAGAGGTTGCCGAGCGTTTTTTTCCGTGTCTGTCTCTACCCCTCCATGTGAGTTCAATTGTGTTGTGGTGCTGAAGGACAGCTCCCAAATCACACACAGCTGCTCTCCCAGTGTGTTTGAGCGCGTGTATGCGTGTGTGACTTGCCTTAGTTGGACGCTTCCACGCAAAGCCTCTCTGAGCACCTACAGCACAGCGACATAACAGATGCTAATGGACTAAACAGTGCTTGTATTGCTCACTCACCCCTCCCTCCCTCTCTTTCTCTCTCTCTCTCGCTTTCTGTTGAAGTCACAGCCAAAACCCATGTTGGCTTGTTTAGCACAAGACAACACCTTTATTTCACCAAGCAAAGCAAAGAAAGAGAACAGAGAGTGAATTAACAACAGAAGAAATAGAAGAGCACTGAGGCTTGTGATGATATTTGTCAGCAACAGAGGTTTGGTGTAAGCATGCGGGTTCTGAGGATCTGCTGGGTTACAGCAAATTTAGCCAGACTGCACAGTACACGTGGCTGAACATGTTGCTAATCCACAGGATTCAATTGGGAAAAGGATTTAGGCAGGTCAAAAAACACAAACAAATACACATGGGCATTCCTGTTATGCAGTAACTTTTGTAAAATAAATAAATACATAAATAAAACGACGGTGTTGTATTTGAGTATTTCTATGCATGATCTGGTGAAACATGCTCTAAAAGTTATAGTTCACCCCAAAATTAAAATTCTGTCCTCATTTACTCACCATCATGTTGTTCCAAACCTGTATTACTTTCCTCTGTGGAGAATAAAATAAGATCTTTTGAAGAAACCAAACCATTTTGATTACCACTGACTTCCATTGTGTCAACAAAAAACACTGAGGAATTTCTAAAAATATCTTCTTTTTTTGTTTTACAGAAGCAAGAATGTCATACAGTTTTGGAATGACATGAGGGTCAGTAAAAGACAGATTTTTTTTATGTCCGGGTGAACTATGCCTTTAACTTTTCTTATTTAAAACTTATTGACACAACAGCAAGAAAATTAGCAAGGATGAACCTACCATGATGGTAATAAAAAAGCTATAGTCAATGTTCACTGAGGGATTGAGAATCACTGTTTACATTTGGTGTCAAATTGAAGTTCTGTATTTACTCTCTTTTAGGTGGAATGACAGACAAACCAGCTAATATCATATCACACAACATCACAACATCAAAATTCATTAAATCCATTACTGATATTACTATTTTTTTTCTCATCAAAATTGATGTCCCTTCCTGAAAGATGATGTCATTGAGGAACTGTTTTTTTTATAAGAATGCAACAAAATACTAACAGGATGTAAAGTGATATTGAAATATTAAAAATATTCACAAAAGAACATGTTTTGTGTGAAATATTTTGATTAGAGAGGAAAGAATTAAGACCCGGCATATTTCATAATAAATTTTAAATGTTTCAGTTTACAACTACATATCCTTGGGTACATGAAAAAAAAGAAGAAGCTCAAACCAAAGGAGTGAAATTTAAAATGAATCCTTACGTTCATGTAATTGTGATAAAAAAATTAATAATCTTATTATCTAAACTCATAAAAATGTTACTCAAAAATGTGAGTTTCTCACACATAAAGTAATGAATAAAGTAACAAAGTAAAAGTAAGTAAAATACAATAAATATCCTCTGGCTGATATACCTATATGATATACATGCTACTGTACTGTTGCCTTTTTAGAACTGTATCTGACGAGACAATAAGGATATTTCATAAATACTATACAACATTAAATTATCTTCAATAAATCATATCTCTGTCATGTATTCTCTCTGCATGTACATCTTCCCTTGGTAGATAAACATAGAACAATGGGATTTAATGGATGTGTGCAAGTCTCTGTTGATGAACAAAAGCTTATAATTAGATAGAGAAGTATTACAAAGTCCTTCATAATGAAGACTGGAGAACTTTCATGACTGCTCACTGAGTCCACGCAGATGAAACGACAGGAAACAATGCCATTTCTCCCAGGATTACACCGGTTTTGAATGATTAGTTTATTGGGACTAATGATGCATGTGCTGCCATAGAACACTGAAAGGCCTTCGTGTTATCAAGAATTCAGACTGTTTTCGTCACCAATTCCGTGTCAAACAAAACAATTAAGGGGCTTTCAGAAAGCTTGAAAAGGAGGGAGGCAGAGAGAGGAAATAATATGTTTTGAGTCACGTTTCAAAAGAATAAAAGTTGGATGAATAATCATTAGGAGATTTTATATTTAGAAATGGCATTATGGCACAATAGTCAAAGCTGCACGATTTGAGGTATAATTCATGTCCATTGGACAAATGGTACAGGACAAGTTAGCTACAAGTTTAATACTTCCTGAGTATGAGCAATTGTAATAGTGATGCCAATATGCCAGTAATTTTTTTCCATGTTATGCTAAAAATCAATACATTGACAATATTGTGGTGTACAATAAACAAGTAAAATCCTTTAACATTTAAAAGGATATTCATTTGAAGAATTCCAAAAGATTACATTTAACAGTGTTATTAAATTATTAGTATTTATAAGATTAACTTTAAGTGAGTGTTAGATGACGGCAAAGATAATGTGAATGTAAAAAAAAAAGAAGAGGAAAATGAACATATAGAAATAAATATCGAACATCCGCGATAACCGATAAGGTACAGATATTTTGCATCCTTAATGAGTTTAGCAAACTGCTGCAAAATGCTTTGGCCACAAATCACTTCAATAGTACTTTGTAGACCAAATAAGAAAAAGAAAAAAAAACAGTCACCAAACACAAAGTCACAAAATTTCCACGTCATCAAATCAAAGTTAGACAGCTGTGATCTCATGAATATATGAATTTTAAAAAGATGCGAGAGAGGATTTCTTCGTTAATCTGACTGAGTTTATCGTTGTAGTCTGTGCGTGGCGCTAATGTATGTGGCTAAAGCACTCTCAGTTTATACATAACATTGACTAATACTTTAGTCATCTCCTTAAGGCATTAAAAGAAGCTTAACTCATTTTTGACATGAGGACAGTAAAACCTCAGCCTGCTGCTATACATGCCATCTAAGTATTACAGTGTTGCCAGATCTTGCAAGAAAAGCAAGCAACCTGGTCTGACAAAACATATATGCTTAAATAAGCAACTCCAGGATTTTCCATTGTCTGGGGAAACATATTTACAGTATTGCAGCATAAACTTGTGTAAAATATTGATTAAGCAATTCAATAAATGTATTTCAATACTTTTACAAAAAAATATTTGTTACATTATACAATCAGCTGTCTATATATCTATATATAAAAAAAAACAATAATAAGCATTTTATTATTATTAAACATTTAATTATATAATGTATTATTATAATTTATTCATAATTAAAAAAAAAATTGTTAATACATATTTTTTTATTATTATTATTATACAATTTTAGGGATGCACCAATACCACTTTTCCAGAACGAGTCCGATACGATACTTTTATTTTTAGTACTTGCCTATACCGAGTACAGTTACCTGTGTTTTCATTGCATTTGAAAAATTTTCACAATATTGGGCAGAGAAACAAAGAATATGCATCAAATTAGTTGGCTTAGCAAATAGATATCACCTTTAGTTATTTTCATGCCAAATTATGCCTGTTAAAAAGTATTGTATGAGCTACTGTTACTTTCAGTGTTCATATTATTGCTCAATGATATTTTATCTTTAATTTAATAATCACAGGGAATATTTAGGGCTGTTCGAAAAGGGCTCAACCAGTCAAGAGCAGTGAGTGATCTTTTATTGTTAGATTAACATTGGACAAAGACAGCAGTAGGTTTGCTGCTGTCACTGTAAGACCTGCACATATCCAACATGCTGTTACACACGCGTTTTCTTTTCAATTTTTTACGCTCACTTAAGACATAACTGCCTATGTTTCACAAGGATACTTGCCTATAAGGAAATATTGACATCATTTTGTGAGAATTTGTCTGTTAAATTGCAAGACCATAGGCCATTCTCACGCTGTCTGAGAGGCAGCTTTCTGGGCGCACGCTTTGGATGTTTGCACACAGAAAACTTCTTGAAAACAGAATGTGATTACTGTACCACCTTCTTGTAATAATGTAGGGAACCAATCATTATACATAAATCATGTAACAGTTCATGTTCATGAGCGCAGTATCGGCCCGATACCGATACTGGTATCAGTGCATCCCTATGTAATTTAAGTGCACATGACATTTCCATATAAATGAGGCAGAGGGAGTGTCTTAGAAAGGCAGAATCCCGGAAATAAACTATGGCGATTATTAATGACATACTGTATAAAGTGCGGCTAAAACCGAAGGTGGTGATATTTGACAGCTGTTATCGGTGGTTGGTCACATTTTGCTTTGCAATGGGTCATAATTAGAAGTCATGCCGACACTGAAGCATTACTTGATCGCACCTTCTTATACTGTATATACGATCGGAAAAATCATAGTCAAGCACTGTTTTCATTGACTGTGCGGTCCAATTAAAAGCACAAAGCATTTGATTCAGTTGAGGTACTGTAAGTGAAATGGGCAGATTTCTCTTTAAGTCTGTAAATAACTGGAGGGCATGTCACTGAAGCGGGACTTGTGCTTAGCACAGCTGTGTGTGTGTCAGACACTGATGTCTTTAAGCTCCAGCACAGATCCTCAGAGCCGTTAAATCCCTCTGATCAAAACAGTCTAGCCCTGAAGGGTTTCATTTCCTATCCAAACACCACCATCCGAGTACGTTTAATGACATTTGTTTCTCATGTCACAAGATGGAGGCTCTGGAATGACTCATCTCAGTTAAAGCATTACACCACAACATCTGTTCTTTAGTTAGATATATAAAGCATCCTCTGGTTATCGCACTTAATGAAAAACAACATGCGGCACGGACAAATTCACTATGAGAAGCCCTGGAGAGTTTACAAGGTCCTCCCTCAGCAGCTCTTCAGCAGCCATTGGTCAAAGAGAGTGCTGCGTCTGTGCTTTCCGACGCTTTATTATGCATGTTGTCGCACACTGCATATGGAGAGCAGAGGGAGTTGGATCTAATCTCAGCTCATTCTCCCCACAGGGAGCTGCCTGAACCCTGCTCGCACCTGTGGCCGCCTCATTTTGGCATGACCGATCTCCAGCTTGCTGATTGAATACTGGGCAGAAGAGCATGTTGATGAGATGTCTTGCTTGGATAACAAACAGATTCACGTGGAGGTCGGTCATTTCTCTGTCACAGCTATAAACATGTAACGTTCAATGCAGTATCTGCACTGCAGTGCAGGGGCTGGTCACAAATGCCCCAAAAATGGGTTGCAAATTTGTTTCGTAAGATTAATTATGATACAATGTGGAAATAAAACACTATTACAGTGTATCAACATTACACTGCATTATTGAAACCTTCCACATCTATATTTAAACTGAAAGTAGCACTGAGAACCAAAGCCTTGCAAACTGACACCCGTGTTGTAACACAAGATGACAGTAGCTGTGCAGATTTTGTATGGAAAGCAACAATGAAGTGGAGATGAAAGACTACCCTATAGAAAATTTTAAGTCTCACAAAATCTGTAAAAATGGTAATATTTCAAATCAAAAACAAAAGTAATAAAGAATATATACATGTTTGGTAATAAAACATGTTTCTAACATGTTGCTAACATGTTTTAATATGCTGTTAACATGTTTCTAGCAGTTTAGTATATTACTAGCATCTTTATAGCATGTTTTAGCACATATTTTAACATGCTACTGGCATCTTTATAACTTATTTAATGTGTTTCTAGCATGTTTTAACAATGATATCACATTGTAACATGTTGCTAACATGTTTTAGCATGTTGATAGCTTGTTTGTACCCCATTTCAGCACACTGTCAAGCCAGCATAATTACTATAATGCAAAAAAAGAAATATTAATTCAACTGTAAAGTGTGTTAAATGAATGTAAACAAACATTTGGGTAAGTCTAACAAAATCTGTAAAAATGCCCAGGTAATATTTCAAATTAAAAAACAAAAGTAAGGAATAAGAAATTATAAAGAATATATACATTTTTGGTTATAAAACGTGTTTCTAACATGTTGTAGCATATTGCTAACATGTTTTAAAATGCTGGTAACATGTTCCTAGCATTTCAATATGTTACAAGAAGCATCTTTCTAGCATGTTTTAATGTTTCTTGTAACTATTACAGATTGAAACGTTGTGCTAGTGAAAGCCAATCTGAAGGGCAGATATGCTCTGTGCTGGCCATGATCGGAGGAGCGTGACGGGGACAGGAAGCCAGGCACAGGAGCCACGCTAAGACAACAGCTTTCACCAAACAGAGAAAATGCTACATAGACTCACTAGGGGTGTGAAAGAAGCTCGGATCACACATACACGCACAGACCTGTTCAGAATCTTAATTTAGACCCTCTCAAACCATCTCCAGCCAAAGCTCTGAGGGTCATCAACACCCCATTGGTATTTTAATAAACACTGCAGCCAGGCCTGCCGAGCCGAAAGAAAGGACGGGCAGGCTGGAGTCTGAACCTCAGGATGAAGAAGCCAAGCTGCTCTGAGTCACGACAACAACACCATACAGCGAACTGGGCACATGATCACTTAGTGATCGTGTGCATGTTGACAATTTAAAATCAACATGAAATTACAGAAATTACTGAATTACAGAAATTGATACTTTTATTCAACAAGGACAGTACATTTATAATAAGATTTCTAAAAGATTTCTATTTAAAAAAAAATGCTTTTCTTTTCATTCATCATCATCTTTGCCAACTCTCTAAAGTGAAACCTTTTTTAACCAAGAGTAACTACCAAACAGTGATCCATGCTTTTGTTACATCACGTTTAGACTATTGTAACTCTCTTTATATTGGTGTCTCTCAGTCTTCCCTCTCCCGTCTACAGCTAGTGCAGAACGCAGCTGCTAGACTCCTCACTGGGACCCGCAAGTATGAGTCGAACACCCCTATTTTATCCACACTGCACTGGCTACCTGTCAAATTTAGAATTGATTTTAAAATTGTATTATTTGTTTATAAAGCATTCAACAAATTGGCCCCTCAGTACCTGACCGATCTACTTCGCCTCTAGAAGTCTGAGATCTAGCGATCACTGTCTACTCGTGCCTAGATCTAGACTTAAAAAACGAGGTGATCGCGCTTTTGCAACTGCGGGCCTTAAACTTTGGAACAGTCTACCTCTCCACATTAGATTAGCCCTGTCTGTTTCCTCCTTCAAATCTTCTTTAAAGACATATTTATTTTCTTTGGCCTTTAACACTGCTTAATTTAGGTAATTATTGTTTATCTATTGTTGTGTTTCCCTTTATTGGTTGTTTTATTATTATTACTTAATTTTTTATTCTGTCCTGTACGGCACTTTGGTCAGCCTTGGTTGTTTTTAAATGTGCCTTATAAATAAATATTGTATTGTAAATTTTTCTTGAGCACTAAATCAGCATATTAGAATGATTTCTGAAGGATCATGTGACTCTGAAGACTGAAGTCACAAATTAAATTTTGCCATTAGTATAGAAAAAAATAAAATGGAATTAAAATGGAAAAATGGTACTTTAAATATATAATATTTCACAATATTACTGTTTATACTGTATTTCGAGCAAAATAATACAGCCTCAGTGAGCATAAAAAAAAAAAACCTTATCAACCTTTAAGTTTTGACCTGTTAAATAAAAAAATAAATAAAAAAAATAAAATAAATAAAAATTGCGAGAGAACTCAAAAGCATTGAAAAATTATTTTCCATCACATCATATATTTTTTTCCTTCACCATGTCCCTTTAGGGGCACCGTAGGGGCAGTAGTGTATTTTTGGTATTATTATTACAAATAAAATACAGACAATTTTAACCATCCAATACATTTATGACGGATAAAATCAAGTCCTGGCATTTTTTCTTGTTCAATAACCCGTTTCACTTTGAAACATTTCAATTATGAAAGTAAATGGGTAAAATTAAAGAACAACAATTAAGTTGAGAATTCAGTGGACACCAATATTCACAACTAAGATTACTTCATAGGAGCAGATTTCGACAGGTTGTCAAGATCATCCTCCGCACAACACAAATGACAGGTTTTCTATCAAATCCACAGTGTCACTGCCACTTGACTTTCTTCCCATTATCACAGTCCACCATGCATGAAATAGTTTTAGCAAATAAGCATTTGTAGTATTCAGGCCATGCTGCATCCAATCAAGTTCTTCAGCTAAATACTCAGCAATTTAGAGTTTGATTTTAAAATCTGTATGCAAATAGGGTAAACACCAATCTGAGGCAGAGTGAGGAAATTAATTAGTATAAAAGAAAGTTAATCAAGATTTAGGCTTGAATCAAGTGCACATTTAGTGGTAGTGTAATGAAACACAACGGATGCTTATTATCAGTTGAAATAAACAAAAGGATTGAAGTTGTCATATTTTAGTAAAGGCCAGGTAGTCCAGTTCTGAATGAAATCAAGCCACATGGAAAGCATAAGAACGCTACTGTAAGCATTGAAATATGCTGGTCAGTTTGAAACTATGATGTCTGAAATATTGGGAGAGGAAGTGCCGACCTACCTTCAGGTCTGTACTGAGCTACGATGGTGACAGTCTGTCCAGCATTCTTCAGTGCTGCAGCCGCCTGTTCATGCGTTGCACTGCGGAGGTCCACCCCATTTACCTGCAACAAACATACAATATTAATGATGTGTACCACAAATAACCACTGATGCCAAACACAGCCAGTGGGGTCCAATAGCCTGAAAATGATCATTTAGAATTTAAAATCTACTGTAAACCTGGAAAACTATTACTGTAAAGTTTATGCAGCTTGAGTGCTGCTGGGATAAAAAAAAATAGGGATATACCAAATACAAAGACCTTCTGCAATTCACTTTTTCAAATCAATGTTTCGCTGAAATGGTAAATAAATAAAAATAAAATATTTCTGTAAGATTGACAATGAGTAATAATGAGCAACAATTGCTGATAATGCGATGTTCTTCTTACAGAAATGATACGGTCTCCTTTCCTCAATTCTCCACACAGGTCTGCAGGCCCTCCTGCTAATATGAAGGAGATGAAGATTCCCTCTCCATCTTCTCCTCCTACAATGTTGAAGCCTAGTCCTGTGGTGCCCCTATGCAGGACTATTTTCCTAGGCTCCCTAAAAAACAAAACCAGCATTCATTAGTTGATTTGAGCGACAGGTTCAGGAAAGCATGCTTACAAAACTGACACACATACACACGCATATGCACATACACACGCACACGAGAGAAAAAAAAACAATCTATTAAAAAAATTATGTAATTGAAATAAATCTGAAATAAAATAAAATAAACAATTATTTATATACACGTTTAAATATATATATATATATATATATATATATATACACACACACACACGTTTAAATATATATAACAGCAACATCTTACATTAATTATTTGCCATCCCAGAAAAATTTAAAATTAAAATAAATTTGACCAGATCTCCCTCTAGTGTACAAAATATGAACTACACAAGAGAGATGCATGCTCTTACAACTTGCTAAGGTGCATCGCATTTTTACTTTTATCTGCGGTTCAAATTGCATGTAAATGTGATGTGTGCAATTATTTATTTATATTTATAACTATAATTACACCATGTGTATGATGATTTCCTGAAAAGTGTAAACACTGTGGTGCTTTCAAAATATTTGATCATCCTGATCAGCCAAACAGGGAGCCCGACATAAGTGTTCAGCAGTATTTTTGGTGCCAGTGCTGAAGAAATTACTTAAATATTAGTTTGCCAAGGACAGCATATTTGTGAAGCATGCATCTAGTAGTCTGTAGATGGCAGCACAGCCTCAAATCACTGGCTCGGTAGCATTCGCACGTTTTCAAAACAAACCCTCACTCATCATGGCTACTACAGACATGTCTTTTAACCCTTAAAACTCTAAGAACAACGGTTCAGTAGAGTAACTGAGTGACATTGACAAATCTCAGTTATAAAACAGTGTATTTTTATACCCATCCTGTAGAATTAAGTCTTAATTCAAAGCTTATCAGATTTGCCAAAGTTGACTTCACAGATTGGTTGGTCATATCATGACGCCAGCTTATGACGTAAAAGGCTGTTTGTTTTTAACATCAATATGACGTATTTGGCGAATTCTTCCAATGGGAAATAAATCCCCATGATTAAAGGGGATTAAATATGGTAAAGCACACCAGTCAGTATGTGTGTGTGTCCTTGATAAGTATCTACTGTTCTCTACTGGATAAAATATATGGTGGTCTGGCCAAGATCATCTCCACAGTCTCTCTCTCTCGTAATACCACTCGCGAGTCGCTACTGACAACAACTCTTACGAAATGAGCAAACAAATCAGGTGAATGAGAAAGAACAGGACACAGCAAAGAGGCTTTATCCTAAATGAAGTGATATCTTCAACAGCTCTCAAGAGGACATTTAAAACTGTCCAACAAATACTGTGAGTGATCTGCCATATGTCCCCATGCATGTGTCCTTGTGAATGCCCTACATCAGTGATTCTCAACAGGACTTAAAATGATTGAAAATAAGAGAAAACAAGAATTAAAATAAGTTAAAAACAATTATAAAATTAAAATATATTTTTTATTTTACTTCACCTTAACACTCTAATTCTTGTAATATTTTACAAATGACTTAAAAAACCTAAACTTTGCAAAAGGGAGAAAAGGGAGTTTATAATTCAGACATGGATATGATGAGATGGTTATGTAATGGGTAAAAAACCCATTATTCACTTTGAATGTATGGGACTTTTGTAGTATGAAATATTTCTTGTGATCAAAATCAGCATATTAGAATGAATTCTGATGGATCAAAAACACGGTTTGAAATCGCCAGTGATCTCTACGTCACAAATACGTCATCAAACACATCAACATGCAGCATATCATTAATTATGCTGCGAAGCAGGTGTCTCACAAATATATGCCTTTCTCCACTGACGTTCTGCATTGTTTCTAAGGATTCTAAGCGAATGATGATTTTTAAAAGGCAGCTGTTTGGCTCTGAGATGGCGAACGGGAACATGGTTTTTGTAACATTAACAACACATTATTAGCACATTGATAATGTAGTCAAGCAAAAGGCTAAACATATTAATTACCGTTATGTGTCCGACGTCGTAGAGAGCGATACATAAAACGCATTACCCTTCTGATACATCGGCTTGTATGCGAGCCTGTATAACTCACTTCTTCTGAATCAGTTTCTGGTTCAAACATGCAGCATATGGCTGAATTAAACCAGTATTTCCACTTGCCATCGTGTAGCGTTAACTACAGTAAAGTTGAGCAAGTGGATCATCTATTCTGAGCTTGTGTGATTGAGTGGAGGCGGAGACTAATTTGTATATTCATGGTTCCATGACGTATATTAAATGAAGAAAGAGTGTAGAGTTACATTCAAGCTTTTTTTTTTCACAAGAAAAAAAGTTAAATATCTAATTTTGGTGATCAAAGATGAGTTTTAAGGGATCAAATTATTGACTACAGGGGGACTTGAAGACTGGAGTAATGGCTGCTGAAAATTCAGCTTGGCAATCATAAATAAAACTTATAGCTGAAAAGAGTTACATTATACATTAGTTTTACATTGTAAAAATGTTTCACAAAATGTATTTATTATTCTGTATTTCTAATTAAAATAAATGCAGTCTTGGTGAGCAAAGAGACTTCTTACAGCAACACACACACATATTGGATTAATTGAATTTTGAATTCTAAAAAAAATTATTATACCTCAGTAACTGGAGATAAAGGGAATAATCCTTAAAACAAGATGATTTCCTTTCAGCAGAATGAGGACATACCAACTAATAACTCATCTAAGACTAATGTGAGTAGTTGTGTGTGAGTGTAGAGTTTTATGTAGTCTGTTTTATAGTATATAAAGCCATGAACCATTATGCAGAGATAAAATATGTACTAAAAATGGCATTAACCTTTGGTGGCTTATCTTATGTGTAGAGAAAAGCTATTCTCATACAGTACCTACACCAGAATTATGGAGCAGTCTTTACACCAAGCTACATGTAATGAAACTTATATATCATTATCTTCCCAATTTCAGGAGGGTGATACAGAGAAAAGAAGCATCAGAAAGCAAAAAAGCAGCCTAAGATGTGATGAGAGTGAGAAAAAATGAGAGCGAGTGAAATCAAAGGATAAGGCTGTATAGAAATAGTTTAAGAGCAAGTCATGATCTGTATTAACTTTCACTTGAAATAAACGATCATTTCACTTCGCAAGGGCAAGGAATCATAATGCACAATAGAAACTGCACAGACGACCTCTAAACCCAAAGCCATCAAATGTTACAGTACAGCAAAAGTCATCATTAGGAAGACAAAGAAATTGGGAGGGCTCACCTTGTGATCTCATCATCTCCCAGCATGCCTTTTGAGATAGGAGAGTACCGAGATGGGGTGGCGGGGGTTAATGGCTGACTTAGATAGCTTTGGGTGCTGATATGGTTCTCCATGTGCTGGGAATAGGCTGAAAATCCAAAACACAAAGATATAATGTTATTGACTTAATGATGAAAACTTATTTGACAATGTTCTAGGAGGTCATATGTATTATGTGAAAAATTACATTTACAGACTTGCCAAAGCCTAAAATTGCTGAAAATATTTTGTGTGTAAAAGTACTAGCAATCATGTTAAAATCTTATTTGATCACTCTCTTTGTGCTTTAAGCACAAACTACTACTTCTTTCCTAGTACATTACCTCTCTTACAAACACTGTTGGTCACAAGTTTAGCGTAAGATTCTTTTTAATATGTTTAAAAAAAAAAAAAAAAAAGTCTCTTATGCTTACCAGGGCTGCATTATTTGATCAAAAATACAGTACAAACAGTACTATTGTGAACGGTCTGGTGTCACATGATCCTTCAGAAATTATTCGAATATGCTGATTTGGTGCTCAAGAAACATTTAGAATTATTGTCAATGTTGAAAAATCTTTTTCAGGATTCTCTGATGAATAGAAAGTTCCACATCACATTAAGCTCCAAAAAAAGACCAAAAGAACCCATAAAAGCGGTCCATGTGACAAGTGAGCTGTAATCAAACTTTTGAAAACATACTGTACAATAGCTTTGTGTGCGGAACAGACAAAGTTGTTAAATCTCATTCTCCATTTTAAATATTCTGGTAGGCCATTTGGTTAGGACACGATACCGTTTGGCATAAATGTTATTAAACCTTGAGAAAATGCACCAACACGTTAATTTTTCAGAGCTTTGGTGAAGAGAGCATTGAATATTTAACAAAATTTCAGGCTGGTCCTCAAACAAAGCTATTGTTTTGCTTCAGATATACATTTCTTTACAACCTGTTACACGTTACATGTAGTTATAGTAATATAGTAATAACTATAAATCCTGCATAATTACATGGAACTAACCCTACAACAAACATAATCCTAACCCTCAACCTGTATAAGTACACATAATTAATTAATATTACTCAGTACTTAAATGTATAATTACACTGTCACAAGGACACCTTAAAATATAGTGTAACCAACTGTTCTTGTATGAAAAAGCAAAGATTCTTCAAAAATCCCTTGTTGCTTTCCACATAAACATTTTATTTTTTATATTTATGTGTCCTTATTACAGTACGCTACATGTATTTACTGCAGTATACATAGTAACTTACAAGCAACCAACACTAAACCAAACCCTATGTACACGTTGTTAATTAATATTACTCATTACTTAGTTGTGTAATTAAACTGTAAGGAGGACACATTCAAATAAAATTATCAAAATAACAACATGGGCATTTTAGAAGCTTAAATATTAGACTGACTACAGAATGCTGCTAGCAAGGTCTTAAGTTTGATTTCCAATGAATCCATAAACTGATACATTTACAGTATATCTTAGTGCAATTATATCGGAAAGAAGCATCTGCCAAATGCATAAATGTAAATCAAAGGACATTAGGGTGGCAGAAATTTCATTTTGTGCAAACAAAATCATTTTAAGTCTCCATAATTGATGTCCCTACCATAAAAGATGTGTCCTTATTTCACTGTGTCAGATGTAAAGTGTAATAAAGTCAAGGGTACTCACTGGGCAATTACTAACTGCAGACATCGACAACCCATTTATTTAATTCTCATCAAACAGTCCTTCACGTGTCAAAGCCCTACGCATTGCCTGACTGGATGACAGATATAATGAAATGAGATCACTAATGAAATTGTTCTGTTTACGCCTTCCGAGAAAGAAAAAAAAAGAATTCACATTGTGAGCACTCGCATGACTCGTATGTCGACATGTGCAGATATCCTTACATGGCTTCAAAACTCCCTCTGCAACACTTGCACACACACAAACACGCACTGATTTTTACATATACTGATGCTGGATTTGCCGGATAGGGGAGCTGGCCACGTGATGCACTTCATGATTAAATGTGCTTTTGTCCTTCATGCCTTTAAGCCCTAATGACAGCTTCCTTTCTCAGGATCTAATGCTGGGGGATCTGGCCTGCCACTGGAACATCACCAAGGTGCTACATTATCGACTGTCATCACTCAGCACTTTGCACAGTCAATTTTAGTGGCCGTCCTCATGAGTTGCTGCCCCATCAGTAGAAAGTGCTGTCTATAGCGGCTTTGAGGTGGGATTTAAGCCATTAGTGAGCATGGGACACCAACAAAAGACCACAGAACTGAGGCAAAGTGCCTGGCAAGTTTGTTCACTCTCTGACCATACTGATAACAACCCCATGCATTTACTTGTCTTCCTATGTAGGTAATAGACTTTGTCTAAAAAAAAAAAGCTACAAGAATACATTATGTTTCAGGATAAGCTTACTTACAGCTGGTGACATCGGGAGGAACGTAACTATCATTCATAAAGACACTAGTAGGTTTCGCCACTTTTAAATAGACGACATCAGGGGTGTTTTTCAAGGCAGTCACGGCATCTTCATGAGTGACGTCTTCAAGGCAAGCAGCATTCACCTGTAAAAGATGAATGTATCAGATGGAACACACACACACACTATACATGTGTGGGGTCAGTAAGATGTTTTAATGTCTTTGAAATTGGTCTTGTATGCTCATCAAGGCTGCATTTATGTGATCAAATATACAGTAAAAACTGTAATTTTGAGAAATATCTTTACAAATACAATGGCGGTTTTCTGTTTAATAAATGCAATTTATTCCTGTGATGGCAAAGCTGAATTTTCAGCATCATTACTCCAGTCTTCAGTGTCACATGATCCTTCAGAAATCATTCTATGTTGTCACAAATGTAAGTTGTGATTCATTAACAATGATTAGTGTGTCAGATGCAATTGTTCCTCTACAGCTAATTTGCTAAACAAACAAACAAAAAAATTGTAATGGAATATTTAGGACTAAAAGACAATTGCTGGAGCGCTAAATTAATAGGTTGTACATCTCATTAAATAAAGTAAAAAATGTTTTTAAATAAATAAAATAAATAAATACTCGTCTAATGTCATTTACTAAATTCAGTGAATAGAAAAGTTTTTACTTACAGCCAGAAGTTTATCCCCAATCTGCAGCCTTCCATCTTTGTGGGCAGCTCCTCCCTCAATGATTTTGGTGATATAAATACTGTTGTCCCCAGGAATATGTTGGTTCCCAACTCCTCCAGCTATACTGAAACCTAGACCTGTCAACAGAGGTCAGAGTAAACCATTTGCTGAACAATGTCCTAACGTGAATTATAATGATCACACAAAGACATAGCAGGCTTTTATTTTGTAATAGTTATGGGCATATCGATATGAAGTATCGATACTGACGTCGAGTATCGAAAGTATCGATACTCAAAAATACTAGTGTTTTTTTTTTTTTACCAGTTATTTTGTTTATTTGACGAGAAATTGAATGCGTACAATATGCATTGAATTGGATGAATAACCTATGTTAGTGAATAATTGTGTAGTAGAACTATTTTCCTGCTCATGTGAACACACACAAATGCTGCAAGTCAGAACCAATCAATCACAGAGAGAGTTCACACACTGCCGGCAACAGGGCTGCGTTTCCCAAAAGTATCATAAGAAACCATTGATGCTTTTGGGAAACGCAGCCCAGAACAATGCTTAACAGAAGACAGAAAAACATATGTTTGAGTTATTTCACAATAAACATTTTGAAATTGTAGCCTACATAGTCTGTGCAATTAAATTGTTTTAAATTGAAGGTTAAAAGTTCATACTGATGTTCTATTCTGTAACTAATTTTAATATAAAACATACACAGTCAGAATAAAAAAAGTTGCATTTTATGGGTCACTGGCAGTCCCTTATGAAAATGAACATTACAGTGACCATAGTTCAACTAGGCCTATAATATTTTGAAGATTTCCGTGGTTACCACTACAAGTAAACATTTTAACCATGTGTAAACAAACAATATATTCTTATAAGTTCCAATTAAGGCGTATTGAATGTTAAAATGCCTTTCAAATATAATGTTAAGTGGGTATCATTACCCATTTTACTCTTAGTAATTCAACAATTTAAGACATTTTTTAGTTTAAAAGTTCAGTTTAGAGGTATCGTATCGGTATCGGCGATACTGGCCTTGAAAGTATCAGTATCGCCCATCCCTATTTTGTAATCTTTAGATGAGAAATGGCTTTACCTTTAGGACCTTTTACCAGCTTTACATCCATAATTTTTTCTGAGACGGCTTTTCTTCTTCTTACGTACAGTCTGACAATGCAGCCTGCCTCCTTCAGAGCCTCCACAGCATTGCTGTGAGTTACGTCTCTCACGTCTACATCATTTACTCGTAGTATAGAGTCATTAACTCTGTACAGAGAAAAAGAGGGAGAACACTGACTAAAGAGTCAAAAGAAACCGCTATAAATCACAGTGATTAAGAGCCATTTGAAGTACTCACAAGCAATCAAAACACAAAATTTGTGTATAAACAAAATTATCTATCATTGTTTTACACCCCAGACAAAAGCTGCATGTAAGAAAAGCATCAGCACAACTGCGTTTTGGTTTCACACTAACAGGGATGCAGTTCTATACAGAAAATAAAGTGAAAAGACCACTATTACAAACTTATCCAGTAAATAACAAGCAAGAAGAGGATCAGATTTAAATGGTAACACTTTGCAAAAAGGTCTCATTTGTTAACATTAGTTAACTACATTAGTTAAAATTTAAGATTAATAATTGTTGTTCATTGTTAGTTAATGTAGTTAACTAATGTTAACAAGTGAAACCGCATTGTAAAGTGTTACCATTTAAATTTACATGAGGAGGGGAATCATAATTTAGGTCCATGTGGTTATTCATTTTAATAAAACCCAAAGCCCAGAGTTCACTGTTCACACATCGGTCCGGAGTCCGGACCAAAAAAAAAGGTTTTTGTCCTGGTCTGTTTAGCGTTCACATTGGCATTATAGATACTGAACCTATAGATACTGAACCTAAAGGCATAGGGATACATTCACAACCTGATTGGTCGGCTTTTATGACGAATATTTCGAGACAGAATTTTCCGAACATCCAAAACAATGCTGTGTGTTGGGATAAATGCGCTCGTTGTACATGTATGTGCGTACATATGTGCGTCTTTTGTATGTGTTGTGTTCATATTTCATTCAAACCACACCAGAGTTCGTTTTGGAAGTGGACCGAGACTCATCTTGTCAGCGCCAAAAGATGGGTTCGGGTGGCAGCGTTCGCACTTATTCAAATGAAGAGAGCAATCGCACCAGGGTTCGTTTTAATCGAACCAAACAAGCCAAGTGAGAATACCCTATGAAACAACTTAATCTGGATTAAGTCAGATTTACTGTTCAATAGATTTACCGTTCTGACTTTTTTTCTCAGAATTGTGATTTTAACTCAATTGCGAGTTATAAAGTCCGAATTGGGAGAAATAATCTTGCTATTGCGAGGAAAAAATCAGAATCAGAATCAAAATGTGATAGGTTTAGATATTATTTCATGCTGTAAATGTAGAACTATTACATTATGGCTCCTAAGGACTGCATATATGAATATTATGCAGATCTATTGCTTACAACAAATTCATGCTTTAATAGTAGAATAATATTCGCATGTTTCAATCCAGTGGGTCCGTTTTTTGGCTTGCAACCCTAAACGTCTGCGTTTAGCTTCAAGGGGTATCTTCCACGACAGAATTCTTTAAAAATTAAATCTTTTTTTGCATTTCACTTCTGACATCCAAAAGGCACAAGACGACATTTTCTTGCCCATTTTTCACAAAAATATTAAGCAGCGCTGTTTTCAATGTTGATAATAATAAGAAATGTTCCATGAGCATCAAATCAACATATCAGAAGGATTTCTGTAGGATCAAGTGATGTTGAAGACTGGAGTAATGACTGCCGAATGTATTACAATTAAACAGTTATGTTAAATTGTAACTATTTTAAATTTTCACCCCAGAGCAGAAGTATAAATGCAGAACTGTATTTCTGTAAGTGAAAAAAAGTGAGTGTGACAGTGTAAAGGTGTTTGAATTTGAGCTTGTACGACGCTCTGACAGAACCACTAGGCGCTGACCGAGGGAACGTGGTCCGGTATGCTAGCATCCTGTGTGCTTAGCAGATTGCAAAAGATTTTGATGATACATTTTACTGCATTTTCAATGTTTTCTGCTGAATTCAGCACTCTACGTGTGGCAGGTTTAGCAGTCGAAAGTAACTACCACTACTGCTACTTCAGCTACACATAAATGTGCTACTTATGCTACTTGTAACCTGTTCATACCAGCTCAGAAATAAATATGCACTGCTTATGTGTGCGATGTGAAACAGGCCCAAGGAGACATTATTACGAACTTGTCCTTTGAGGGTAATAACATATTCTCTGACCTGAGTCTGCCATCCTGTGCGGCAGCTCCACCTGGGATGATCTTAGTGATAAAGATGCTTGGGTCCTCGCCGATGTGGGGGTTATCGGTACCGCCTGCAATACTGAAACCCAGGCCCGAGTTCCCCTGTAGGGAGGGGGAAAAAACATGTCAGAACAAAAAGGAGAAAATGTCAACCAAAGAAAAAAAATAGACCTTTAAGCATAATGACATTATTAAATAGAAAGCGAAATCAAAGGAGAAATATATGTGCATGCAAATGTTACGGCCAGTTGATCTGTTAATTTGATTCAGATATATACTCAATACAGTACAGTATAATGAGGATCTAAACTCATTTAAACTCATTAAACTGAATTAATGAATAGTTTTTTCAGAACTTATTTATGTTTATTTATAAATGTAGTATTATAAATGTTCATTGTTAGTTCATGTTAGTTAACATATACTGTACAACTTTCAATGTTAAAAAAGCCCAAGTAGAAATTAAATTGAATGAATTCTGTATTGTCCTAACAATGTAATTCAAGCTTTTTTCTGTCAACATTTGAGTGGCAATTTAAAACCCCGAGCATGAAAACACTGTACAATCATTATGCAGTTTATTCAGAACCTCCATAACAATGCCATCTACCTTTAAATATTGTATTGTAAATCCTACTGACATTGTAAGCAATTCCTGCCTTTTTTTTCATTGTCAGCGCAATCTTACCCGTTCAAGTGTAATTTCTTCATATTCATAATCAGCTTCTGTTCCATTCACCTGAAAGTTAAACAAAAGACTTTTGTCAATATACAGTGTCAAAATATATCAACATGAGCATATGCCCTCCTCTATTAGTGTCACCCAAAAAAATGTTATTAGTTCCGCGAGTTTCTATAATTCAGGAGGAGTTTTTGTGATTACTAGATTTTGTTTTTCTTTCAAAAATAGATGTGTCATGAACAATTCTGTCCGCCAGTTCAAGTTATTATAAGACTGATTGCAGCCTTTTCACAAAGACTGTGAAAAGTCTTTTACACACCTTTTGGAGGAATTGTTTTAAATGTATTTTTGTTTGTTGATTCTCTCATCATTTGGCAATAAAATTGCATTTTTTCTTATGAAGTGTTAAGGAACCAGAATCAAAAAGAGAAATCAGAACCAAATTTGCTTTTCCCCCAACAATTCTATTATTGAAATGCACAAATGTACGAATATAATAATGTAGATTATTATACACAGACATATAATACCAACATTATACCATAGAAAACATCAGCAATAAGAGATCAGACGACTGTTCATTCTGATCTCTTTTATTCAGAAAGAAAAAGTAAAAAAAGCAGTCCTTTCCAGTAACACCCTTGTACCTTATTTACCCCTCAAGAGTGCATATTAGTACCTTAAAGTTTAGTATTAGTACCTTAATGTGTATTTTAGTACCTAAATGAAAGGGTACCGACCAGTGACCTTGTTTTCTGAGAGTGTAATTGCTGATGTTTTGTTGTTCATCAGCAGGAATATTCATTTAATAATTTGGTCCGCTGGTTATGTTTTTAACAACCAGTAAGTATTACTCTCCATTCCATATATAGTAAATCCACTCTGCAGAATTCCTCAGATTTTCTGCAAAAATATGCATAAGGAGCGTAAAACAAAATGTCTGCAGATTGCATCTGGGACTGATTATGGGCAAAAAAATAATCTTATATAATAAAACGTTGTTGCTAGGAAAGTGCTCTAATTATGTAAGAACAAACTGTTTGGAAAAGTCTCAGTGTTCTCTTTCCACTCCTTCCATTTCACCTCAACTGGTTCTACAGTTATTGGCGCTACAATACTCAGGCAGCATTACATCTCTTGCCAATTACTGGGTATTTCAGCCAGAGAGGCCACAGAAACCAAATCTATGAAGCACACAGACACTAGCTGTCGGCTCAACACGCACTCCAGTCCACTCGTTTTCAATGTTCTGGGTTCAGCACGAGTTAAGCTGTATCAACAAGCATTTGGGGCATAATGTTGTAAATAATTTAGACTTGTCCCTCAATAAATGTCACAGTAAGATACTTACAATGAAAGTACACCAGGGAATAAACTTTAAAACACACTGTTGTAGAAGTAACCGCAACTTAAAACACCTACTGACCTTGAATGTGTAAAACTATATCCAATCTTTCAACTTCTACAAAGTCATGACCATGTAACACCCAGTAAACCCCAGTAAATTTCACATGATATGGACAAAGATACCAGAGAGAGAGTGTGTACATGGAGCAAACATCACTCAGGACAAGTTGAACATGAGGTTTCATTTAAATGAGGCTGGATAGCTGTCCTAGGTAGAGAAAACTGTTGGACTAAATGCTTGAGATCAATGAAAACAGGCCAAGAATCAGCATTAACACGCTTGTGTGGTTCTGGGGGCTCTGCTTTAAGCTTCTAAATGACATTTTAAGACCTTAAATACTAAACATTTTGCCCTCTCTTTCTGTAACTGCTGCTGAAAACATCTGTTTGTGACATCAGTGGTGTTGGGGGTGGGGTTTAAAGGAGAGTGAGAGATGTACGTCAATACTGACACTGCCCAATACAGCATTATACTCTAATCATGCCACCAGCTCTCAGCATGATACTACAATAACATCCATGCTATTACTTAAATGCTTTTCTTTTTTCTATCAGTTTTAAAAGGATATAAAATATCCAAAAAGGCCTTTTCAGTTTTGCATTACAACATATATTTAACAGATTGTCCCAGTTATGAAGTTAATTCCATTGGCGATAACCTTTAGTTGTTTTTCTTTGGGAACCATTTAGAGGTTTACCAGCACTGCTAAACTATGATGCTGATAACATGCTACATATATGGCCACAAACAACCAGCCACATGGATAAGAGCCAATACAGGCATTTACACGATCAATATCAGACTATTACTACAGTATATCTACGTAATATAACGAACAATCAAAACAGGAATAGACGTACAGTACATGCACAAGGAGTTGTTCAACATCAACATTACTGTATTGCTTTAAAGAAACCCCTATTCTAAAAGCATTTATTTATTAAAAGACCATTTGGATTTTGTATACCACAAGCCAGATAACTATAAATCCACCAGCTGGACTGCTGGCAGACTCAGTATCAAAAATGCGTTATCTCTGGGTAATACAATGCAGAAAAATCCTGCACTTTTCAGGAGTTTTCTGTTATTTTCCAGATAACATCAAAACATACAGAACAAATGTACAAAAATTATAACCACCTACCCTTCAAATTCCTAATTTTACCTAGTTTTCACCTCAATTACAGTATGTATTGTGTTTATTTTTACAGTCAAAGTTTTTTGTTGTTTACTGTTGGTGAGTGCCGACTCTATACATCTAAAGGTAGGGTAGGCAATTTTTTTATAAACACTTTGTTATATTGTTGAAATTCTCTTCACATCCTGATAGCAATCAATAATAGAAGTGGTGACTTCTGTGGAAGTCTCAGGACCAAAAACTGTTCGTCCAATCATTGCATTCAGGCAGACGATGTCATACCTGCCTGTCAACATACGTTTTTCCATACTTCAATGTTATGTGCACCTTGCTCGCACGGACATCACACACGTCATCAGCACGTTCCATAAGGCTATGCAGACAAACACCAGCCGCCTTACAGTATATAGTTCCTCCAGAACCAAAACAACGGGCTTATGCTACGTTCACAGCATGTCGTAACAGTAATTACAAGACGGCAACCAGTGAAGTTCTACCCGGAGCTGTTCGCGTCCTCAGACTCATATTAATACGTTTCTACGTCAACACTATCAACGCCGAAATGAATCTGCAGCAGTCAGGTGGTACAAGTCAGAGCTCTGTATGTCCTATACATTCATCATTATTGTAATGTTATGCGTTTTGAAACATGAGGTAATTTAATGCCGTCTCTCGTCTTGTGGCGCATTGCAGCCTCTGCTGTGTACGTTCATGTGTTTTAGAGTTTAGGCGTGGCTTTGAAGGGAGGGTGGGATCTCATGCTTTCAAAGCTAGCTTGCTATTGCTAGCCTCTCCGAAATTGCCTACCAAACCTTTAATATTGGGTGAATCTGTCTTTTGGGTGTCATTCACTAAATAAATTACAATGTTTTTGTTACAGTGAGTGTTACATTCAAGTGCAGATCTACTTTCTTTAACATTTACAACTACTGAAACTCAAATCCACACATAAAAACATTTACAGACAACCGACAGCCTTAGAAACATGCAATGTTAAGCCACATGGCAAGCAAGTGAAGCTCCAGCACTAATAATGTGGAGTGAGTATTTAATGAGGTCAGTCAAGAGTTCCTCATGGTCATTTCTTTATAGACTTTAGCTCTATCTCATTCAGATAACTCTAGTGTTCAGAGTGAGTCTTTGATGAAGTATGACAGAAGTCAGATCAGCAGGCTTTCTGGCTCTGGATGTATATTATGAGATGCTGCTGAGACTAAGAGAAGAATGGGGTTGAAGAAGTGTCATGGGTCCCTGATAAATGTCAACCACAGTTAAATCCCCATGCAAGCTAGAACAAGGATTCTCCATAACACCTAAAATCACATATACTGTTGGGGAACTTCAAAATATAAGACAAGGAAATGATCTCCTAAATGTTGTAAAAAGATTACACATTTTACATTTCTTAATATTAATGACTCCACATTTATGAATAAACATAAACTTTAATTCACTGTGAATAAAATATTTTTTTTTAATTAAAGATGATTTCCTCTCTTCTGTTTTTAAGTCATTAAATCAGTCAACATTTTCTAACCGATTTGTAGACTATAGTTTGGTATTCAACTGAAAGTGAAAAACACTAAGAATAATGCACAGCTCTAATTTGCTTATTTTATTACCTATGATTTAATAAAATCCACATCCTCATTGTCATTACGCAGGACAACATCTTATTTTTGTGGGTTTCTGAACATCATATTGGAGCTAAAAAACATCCTCGCAGTATTATAAGTGTGGGGTCAGTAAGATTTCTTTTTAATGAATAAGAAATGAATAATTGTATTTATCAGGGACAGATTAAATTGATTTAAAGTGACAGTAAAGAAATTTTATTTTAAGTAAATGTATTCTGTTTTTATTTCTATCAATCAAAGAAGCTAAAATCAGGGTTTCTACAAAAATATTAAGCAGGACAACCATTTTCAACGTTGATAACAATAAGAAATACTTCTTGAGCACAAAATCAGATTATCATCATATTAGAATGATTTCTGAAGGATCATGTTACACTATAGACTGAAGTAATAGCTGATAAAAATTCAGCTCTTCCATCATAGGAACAAATTACTTTTTAATAGAAAACTGATTTTTTTTTATTGTAATATTACTATATTTTTCATGAAATAAATGCAGCTTTGCAGAGACTACTTTCAAAAACAAGATTTTATCAAATAAATTATATTCAATGTAATATTTATTGTTTTTGTAGTGACAGTTAAAAGGACTTTCTTTAAAGTCAGTTAATATTCTACAAACTTAACAACATTCTGCAATAATCTAACGCTTCACAAAATGCAGTGCATGAAGAGATACATCACATACATATGGACTTACATAGGGTGAGGTGTCAAGGCTTTCTGTGTTCACCACCACCGGTGCTGGACTTGCCTACAAAAGAAACATACATTAATACTTGGGCTGATACGAATCAAGACCCATAACTGTGCACATTACTTCTTGTCCCTAACCTACTGAGAATGAAATAGTGAAATGAACAGTTAACTATAAAAAAGATAAGAAAAAGACCCAATAAAAAATAAGCATCACTTACTCTTGGCATGCTGATACAGTATTACTCTGGCATTTGCAAGAGATTAACAGCACAGCCTGTATCCATACAGAGCATAACATACTGCAGAATATGCAATACAGTGGCATAACAAACCAGCGGAGACCTAATCCTTCAGCAAACATGTATCACACGCTTCACTTGCACAATTGCTTTTGAGGTACAAGTGCGCATCAGCAATATAACATAGCATTCTCTCTGTAATCTCTCTAAGTCAAGAGGACCATCGTTGAGTGGGTGGAGTGAAAACATGAGGAAAAAAAAGACCTGTGACGTGGGTGCTGGAATGGCAGTGGTCTCGGCTGGGACGGGTGGGATAGGGATCACAGGGATTATGGGAGCGGAGGGAGGAATGACATCTGCCTGCTAAACAATGACAGTTGAGGTCAAAGGTCAGACCAGATGACACACAGCAGTACTGATTTTCACGAATTCTCTTTGAAAAAAAAAAAACTAATTAAAACAGATATTGAACAGAATTCTGAAAAGAGAGGGAGAAGATGAGGTAATGGAAACAATACAATAAAAAAAATTATCATATGACTGTTTTAGCCTGTAAAAGTAGATTGTAATATCTTTTTATTAGCAAAAGTCTCTGCAAGCATTCAATTTACATTATTCACAGCATAAAAGTTAGATCATAAAGTGTGAAAAAAAGAGATGAAATCATGAAAATCATGAAAAGATCTTATAAATAAGCTTTATACTAAATTAAAATTTTAAAAATATTTAAATAGTTAAAATACTCTTACAATATTTACTCCAATTCTACTGTTATTTTTTTCAGTGAAACACAAAAGGACAATTTTGAAGGATAGTGGATAATGATTACTTTCATTCTAAAAAAAAACAGACCTGGTCACTATGAAATGTTTAAAAACCACTTGAAGAACCATCATATTCTCCTTTTGTTTTCCACAGACAAAAATAAATAAATCAATAACAGCAAACTGTTTTGAAATGAAACACTCAATCAAATTATATTTATTGTACTCGGTAGTATTAGCAAAGGAGCTTTAAAAGTGTAAATTGTGATAGAATCCCCATCAATGTAAAGTATTTTTTGATGTTATTTTGTGACTCGCTTGAAGGACAACCCTTTCTTTAGACATAACCATTAAGGTAACTGTGAAAAAAATGCACACCGTGTTTCAAGATTCAACAGGGCTAAAAATAAATCTCCAGTCCAGCAATCAGCATCCTGTTGTGCAGGGCTAAGGAATAGCTCTTCCTTTTAAATATGACAATAGCCACCGTCATTTGTATTTCTGCAGGTTGCAAATGTGTGCCAGCTAGTGAAACTTCAGACTACATCGCACCTGAACTAAACAGTCTACATTCATTTACATTCATTCATTTCTGAAGTGCACTGTGACCAATTCCTATTAAATCCAACAATTCCTTTAAAGGGACAGTTCACCCAAAATCTATGTATATAGGTAATAATGTTGTAAATAATGTTTAGTTTCTTGCAAAGACCGATCGTTTTGCTTGATAAGACCTCATTGTATCGCCAGGAGCCACGGGTACTAATTTTGTTTTGCCTGTAACTATTTTTTGACTCTCAAAGTGACGGTGACCATTGACTTGCATTTTATGAAATCACCAAGGACCAAGGTTTCAGCTAAAAATCATCTTTACCGTTCAACTAAAGAAAAAAAGACACCTACATATTGGATGGCCTGATGGTGAGTAAATTAACAGAACTTTTTTTTTTTTGAGTGAACTATCCCTTTAAAAAAAATAATTATGAACATCCATCCAGCTTTACAACCATACAGAACAGTGACATTTTTCCCACAGTTTTGATTCCAGAAGTACAGAGCCAAGCACATTAAAAGATATTGTAGCCATGATTTAAGAATTAGTTCCCATAACTTTTTTATTTATGGCCACGTTATTCATTTGTTCCCTCATTTTAGTTAAAACGTTGCCTCGTTGGCCACAATTTAACCAAATCAAAATTAATAAATGATATAATAAATGCCATTACATTATGATAAAACTAAACGTTAAATGAGTTTAACTAGAAGACAAAACTTTTACTTGCATGTTTTACAGATAGTTAATAGTTAAAAGTTTATGTTGGGAAGATTTTGTGTTGACAAACAGCTAGCCAGCAAGGTAGCTATCATTCTCAAAAGCCTTTTGTCTCAAAATTTCCATGATATGTACATGGTCGACGTGACTTTGATTGACAGATCTCATTTCAGAATTGAGGCTATAATCATGAATTCAGAAATGAAATAGAAATGCAATGTAGCCTACATGATGTGGACCATGCACTGTTGTGAGAGAGCATCTGACGCAAGCAGATATCTATGGGAGTTCAGCAGATTCCAGCTCTACATGAGCAAAAGTGTGTGTTGCCATGCTGTCAGTGAGGAGACATCCGCTGAAACTAGCCCCTCTACACAGCCCGTCTGTGTCAGCGTTCCCAAACAAAAGCGATCTGATCCACAGCCGCTTGTCCAAGCACCAACAACACAGCCAGAGGAGACGGATATTCAGTTACAACAGTCCAGTTCGCCCAGTCAAAAACAAAACATCACTGCAACTACTAATTAGAAAGGGTTTCCGTTTCACTAATCCTCACACTCAGGGTTATGGCAGATACTTGAGACTAAGGCATGTACTATGGTACTATATTTGAGTGACAACAGCACACAAGAAAGACATCACCAAATCAGTCACAACGTTTTACATGAGCGCATGTTGTCCTGCCTAAATTGACCAGAGTAACTTATATAAGAATCTATTTACACTGCATGCTATTATGGCGGTTGTACAGTAGTCATGGCCTGTGATTTCAGAGTTAAAATTAGAATCAATCATTAGCATTGATCAGAGAGACTGGTTTAGAGTTCAGCCTAAAGCTCCCACCAATGGCTCAAATGAATAACAATCCAAAACATACCCCACTTTAATACCTGCATAATACAAAAAATCTAATATTTTAATCGATTTTTTTTTTATAAATCATGTGATGACTTTATCCCAAAAAATCCTTTTCAAAAACCATTATAGTGTAAAAAGTGTATAAAAGATTTCAAATATGTTCACTGCTTACAAAATGTGTCAATATGATGACCAAAACATCTCATCTTTTGACACAGATTCCAAAAAAAAAATTATTTGCTGATTAGGATCCAACAATTAAAAAAACTATACATCGAAAATAAAAATAAAAACATACACACTACAGTTCAAAAGTTTGGTAAGGGGCGGTTTTTAATGTTTTTTTTTGTTTTTTGTTTTAAGTCTCCATGTTTACCAAGGCAAAACAATTAAAAAATGTTATTAAAAATACAACAAAAACAGTAATATTGTGAAATAGCATTACAGTTTAAAATATATTTTGAAATGTAATTTATTCCTGTGATGGCAAAGTTAAATTATAAGCATCATTACTCCAATCTTCAGTGTCACACGATCCTTCAGAAATCATTCTAATGCTGATTTGCTGCACAAGAAACATTTCTATTCTACTATTATCAATGTTGAAATATAGTCTCTTTTGATCAATTTAATGCATCCTTGCTGAATAAAAGTATTAAATTTCTTTAAAAACATTCCTGACCCGAAAATTTTAAATGGTAGTATATGTACCTTTTTTTCATTTTTTTTTTTTCATGTCTGTCAATTAATTTCAATACATGACACGAACTTGGATCTTTACATTATATCACTTCCACCTCCAGAATCATGTTTGCAAGGCCCTGGCAACCACTGACAATAAGTCTTGAGAAACCATATAATCATCAACACAATATAATAAGTCATTTCAAATTAACAATGTAGCATTATCAGAAATTCAAATCCACATACACTACCGTTCAAAAGTTTGTGGTCAGTGAGAATTTTATTTTTATTTTTTGGAGGAAAGAAATCAATACTTTTATTTATCAAGGACAGTAAAGACATTTATAATGTTACAAAATATTCTATTTCAAACAAATGCTGTTCTTTTGAACTTCCTATTCATCAAAGAATCCTAAAAAAAAAAAAAAAAAAACTGTACAACTGACAGACCAACAACTGTTTCAACATTGATAATAATAATAAATGTTTCTTGAGCATCAAATCCTCATATTATACTGATTTGTGAAGGATCATTTGACACTGAAGACACTGACAATAGTGATGCTGAAAATTCAGCTTTGATCACAGGAATAAATTACACTTTACTATATATTCACACAGAAAACAGCTGATTTACACTGGAATAATATTTAATACTATAACTGATTTTTGTTGTATTTTTAATCAAATAAGCGCAGCCATGGTTAGCAGAAGAGAATTCTTTCAAAAGTATTTAAAATCGTACCGACCCCAAACTTTTGAACGGTAGTGTAGCTCAACCTCCTCCCCCATTGCACTTACTCTACAGTACCACCTCTCATCTCTCAATAAGACTCCCACATACCTTATCCAATGAAAACGTGCCCCAAGAATTGGCAAGCCACAAGGCACTGGAAGAAGCTCTGACTTTAGCTGTGCTTTTGGTGGGGCTCTTTTTCACACTATCCCTCAGGTTGGTGAACTTCCCTCTGCTCTTGGTGGAGGCTGGAAGGGTGCAGGAGCTGTACTGTGGAACCCTGTGGGACTCCAGGTGAGTCTGCTGGAAGTTGAGCAGGGTGGGTTGAGACAGGTGAGGCTTCTGCTGCTGATGTTGGTTCTGCTGGTGCAGATGGTGGTGGAAATGATGATGGAATTGCGGTTGTTGCACCAATTGTCTCGGCGTTTGGGTCAGCGTACTGTGCACGTGTCCGACCCTCTGTTGCATTCTGGGATGGTTGCAGTTGGCCACCTCCGTCACCCCGGTCCGACAGTCCACGTAAGCTCCACAGCAGTATTCATGGTTGTTGCTATAGGTGGTCATCGTTTTCCAAGCAGAGAGGGCACCACAGCAAACTATCAGGTGGACGCCAGGTGAAATGATGGAGAACGCAGCCTGAAGAGTGATGCGTTTACTTTGCGGAGCAATCGGGAAGAAGAGAGGACACACCGTGGTTGTAAATCTGGTCCTTTTCCCCTGGCTCCACTCTTCTGCCAACCTCTCTCACCGTCTATCTCTCTTTCAGCCTCACTCGCTCTCATCCCCCTGCACTTGCTCACCAATTAATGAGCTCCAATGGGCACTGCACATGACAGCACACAGTCTCTTCTGCAGGCATGAATAATCAATGCTCCATTCTTGATTTCAGCATTGGCGTCCGGACGGTCTGCGTGTCGCGCTTAGGACAACAGCAGATTTGCATCCAACGTTTGAGATTCACAGGGCTTTTTGTAGTCTGATTCGCTTTTCAAAGCATTAACACGGGTCACAAAGTGAGAGGTCACAGAGGATAAACGCAATCTCTATT